GCCTAAAAGGTATGAGTCGTCCGCCTGTTTTTAGCAAACAGGGGCTCTCAACCACTACTCCTGCTAGGTTAACAACTTATGAGTTAAAAGCCAACAAACATTGGCGAATAAAGGGGAACTACCGGTATCCACCGCTTGATACCTCTACTACTCAGTTACTTGGCGACTAGGTAACAACCATGTTTACTTGGTCAAACCACTTTCCTACTTGGTTAATTTTACAAATGACAGGACCGCCTGCCTAAAGGGGATCCAGTCTTTAAAATGGTTCGAATACCGATTGGATAAATGGCCGACTAATCGCCTAGCCTGGAAACAGACAACCAGTCGTCCAGGGGCATAGGCGGCGTGACTAACTATCCGTACCTATCTGCAACTATCGGCCATGTAAAACACTCGGCATAGTGTACAATTGGATATCAGAATATTCAATACTTAAACAAATTTAAAGCAAAACAAAAAATTCATTAAAAAGAAGCCGGTCATCAAAGACCGGCAAAATATTCAGAGCCCCGGCCCCCTGGCCGGGTAAATACAAAACAAACGGCACGCAGGCCGTGACAAGAAGACATAAAGCTTAAGAAGGGGGCAGATCTTCAATATTAGCAGCTGCCGCCTGGTCAGCACTCTTCTTGCTGGACTCGGCTTCAGCTGCATCCTTCTTTGATGCATTACCCCCAAGCGGCACAAGCGCCACTACCGGCTCCTCCTCCTCCTCCAACGCTTCCTCCAACGCCTCTTCCTCAGCAGCCGCCAGGATCTCTTGATTATATGTATCAGAACACTGGCGGTACGTTTTTTCCCATGAGGCAAAGTCGGCATTAGGGAAGAGGCGGCCCCAAGTCATGCGCTGGATTTGAGCAGAGTCTTCCATCATCTCCCGGACCAGCTCTTTCTTTTCTTGCTCGGCCTTTTCTGAGAGCTCCTGAGTAAGACTCTTCTCCTGGGTCACCAGGCGTACCTTTACGCTCGCCAAGGATTTCTCCAAGGTTTCGTATGAGGACATCTTTTGGCGAAGAGGTCTCAGCTCGGCCTTGAGGCTGTTGATGGTCGCCTCGAGCTCGCTATTCCTCTTCTGGGCCGCCTCTAACTGAGCCCGGATAGCGGCGGTAGCCTGCGCCTGATAATAAAGAATATCAATGGTCAGAACTTCATTTTGGGCAATTTGAAACATTGCCTTATCACAGTCAGAGGCGGCCATAGCTTTTGCAGCCTTTACCTCTTTGTTCTTCCGGTCAAGCGGCTTGCGAAGGCTGTTCACTTGGAGCAGGGCCTAAGTAAAAAGGGGAACAAGCGTCAGTTTCCAAACAAAAAAGAAAACTGGCGTCCTGGAATTCAAATACTCAAAAATATGCTAAGTATACCTCAGCAAGGACCCCTGCAATCCCGTCTAGGTCAAGGGTGCCGACACCCCTGACCGCCTCCCTTTCAGCTGGAGGAACGGCCTTGATCATAGACTTGGCCACCTCGACCAAGTCAGGCTCCTGAGGGCCGGCTGCATCAAGCATAAACAAACGGATTAGACCTAGTAAAAAAGGGAGCAAGTCTAAAATTTACAAGGACAACTTCATACTTCTAGGCGGCCCAGCTGGAGTTTTAGAAGAAGTGGTCGGCTGTTTCTCAGCCGCCGCATGTTTCCTGGAATATTCAGGAGAGCTCGCAACAGTCGTCCTCCGGGCCTTGGGGTCCGGCTGTTGGGAAGAAGAAGCTCTTGGAGCGCCCGTCTAAAAAAGAAGAAGTCAGTATATGCATGAACACAACTCCAAAAAGAGGGTGAAAGGTTCGAAGCCCACCAAGGGTGCCCCCTTGTTGGGGGAGTCGGTTGAAGACTTTTGCATGATGGAGGCCCGCAACATGGCCGCCGCAGTCTTGGAGGCGGTAATTTTGCTCATAGCGTCCGCTGCAAAAACAAATAGCAAAGTTAATAAGTCATAACAAGAAATGCATGGAACAACAGAGTATTCGACAGGCCGGCTACCTCTTGAGCACCGACTGCTGAGGCCACAGGCGGCCAAAAAATACTCGTCGTAGAGCCATTTGAAGCTCGGGACGCAGTGCAGGGGTACTTGCTCTCGTACCCCTGAAGTAGAGTTCACCTTCGACTCTACTTTGAAGAGTCCTTTATCTAGGATCTCTTTTTTAGCCTTGGGGGGAACAGGCGGCATGCTGCGGCCGCCTGCAAGAAGGGGCGGATTCCTGTTCCACCTGTTGAAGCGCTTGTTCAGCTCTGTGTCTTAACTCTCAATGATGAGGAAGGTGCTCCGCCAGTCCTTCCATTTGTTTGCTTTACCTCTCGTCATGAGGTAGCCCCTGTGGCTCGTCAATTGATACCAGCCGGTACCGCCTGCCTTAGGGGTCTGGCTGAGGTAGTTCATGTGGGCGAAAGCCTCGAAGCTCGGCTCCACCCCGTGCAGTTCGCACCCGGCCACATAGCCGAGTACGTTGACCCAGGAGTTCGGGGCTAACTTCCATAACCCCAACTCATACCCATCCAAGATCCGCTGAACAGCCGGATGTAGTGGGAAGCGCAGCCCAGCCTTGATGGCCGCCTCGTAGCAGCCAAAGCAGGTGCTATCATAACTGGTACCAGCCGGCCAGACGACTGTGTCTTCTAGATCCGGCACAAACACTAAAAAGTCGGGGCCCATTGTGTGGTTTGCGATAAAGCTCTCCACTTTCTCTTGCATGGCCGTGATCCGGCCCCGAGGTACCGTGCAGTAGTAAGGGGTATTTTGCTCTCGGTGAGAGGCGGATGGCTCCGCCCAATCGTCCCCCTTCTCCACTGCGTGAGAAAGCCTCGCCTCTTGCAGGCGACTGTTTTTCTCTTCTGTGTCTAGAGAAGCATGGCCAGAAGAGCTAGACTCGGAATCGTCCTCTGACGAGTCCGAAGAGGACGACTCCTCCCCTCTCCCGGAGGGGCCCGCCTCCTCTCCTTTAAAAGGAGCAGGAGAGAATGAAGAATTGTCAACTGTGAAATGGGAAGGGGTCACTTTGATTCCTCCCTCAGAACAGCCGGCTTTCAAGCCGCTTTGTTTCACTTCCACATCTGGCGCCTGGTCAGATGTTTCACTAATCGGCACCCTGTGGGATGAGCCGTCTGAGTTTGAGATCCTGGCAGTCTTTTTTGTTCTGGCCATCATGCTCTGCATAGACACAGATACAGTCGGACTTTGTATAAAGGGCAAAGATGGGTCCAGAAAAGGGCAGGCGGCACTCCTAGTCCTAGGATCAGCCGTCCCCGGTGACCGGCTGATCACTAACCTAGGTCGTGTCGTGTGCTTCCGTGGTTCCATTTCAAAAAAGAATAAAGTAAAGAAAAAATTAAGAGTAAGAGAACCGACGGTTACCTGAACGAGTGACGTTAATGGAGTTCTGAAAATCCTGTGCAGTCGGCTTGTCAGAGCAGGCGGTAGGCAGAAAGGGTCCAAAATGTCAGAGCAAGTTTAGGGGTCCGAATGTTCTCTCACAAAGTTCTCAAGTGTGAAAATGACCGAAGTCAACACTCCTTTATATAGGCAAAGTGAGAAGGCGAAGGGTCACTTCCAGAATTCATAATTTGGGCGGGAGAATCTCTCGGCCTTTCGCCGAGTGACACCTGTAGCAGGCCGTCGCCTGTTACAGTGCGACACCTGTCACAGGTAACACGTGACCAGTCACGTGCCACCTGTGAGGGGCAAATGATTAGGGGATTTTGCTCCCACCAATCACCATCTGACAAGTGGACCAATCAGGTTCCGCCATGTGTCCGTCACATGGGCCAATAGGAGCCTGCCACGTGTCAAGCAATGATCCGTCCACCATGGACCAATTACGACACGACGAGTGTCCTTCCCATGACACCTGGGATAACCGGTCACCTAGGCCCAACTTCTGAGGGAAGCCCAATCAGCCCAAGGTTAACCTAAACCTAGATTGGCACGTTTCCCGAGGTTATAAATACCTCCCTTAATCCTCATTAAGGGGGATTACACGCAGATTACACACATTAAACACTCTCACCTAGAGAGACTCAATCACTTTAATTTCCGCATTAATTACTCCTTAATCAAGTACTAACTTGACCGTTGGAGGCGGAGCTCCCACCACCAGGAGTCTCCGTTGTTTTGCAGGTACAGGCGTCCGGTTCCAGTCTCGGAATTGTAACTCTCCCGCAGGACATCAGAAAACCCCGAAACACTTATTGTTTACAGTAATGGTCGTCTCTAAGTGAGGAAGGGTCTGTTCTCATACGTTTATTTTCATTTCAGTTCTGTTCAGCTCCTAATTTACTTCTCTCATAAATTATTCATTTCAGTTCAACTCAGTTTAGTTAAGTTCAGTTCAGCTGAGTTCAATCTATGAGAACAGGCCCGAAGTTCAGTAAATCAATTTGGCAAAATGGTAAATAAAACAACATAAATGCTTAGTCATCATGGTATTTTCGTAAACATATCAATAAGAGTGGAGCTCATATTTAGCAAAAAAATGTTAATTTATTTACAATTTTTCCATTCGACAAACAAATTTTGTTTATCATATTGATAAACTTGTATTTTCTCTGTCTAAGTTGAATATTTTTCATCCAAGATCGACTCATTGTCGTTGTCGAGTCTTTCAAGAATAACAAAAAAAAAACTGGGTTGATTGTGATTACTCCGTTTTAATTTATACTTTGTATTTAACATTTTTCAAAGATAATTGGTACTACAGTGAAAGTTCTTGCCAAGAATGTTTCAACGATGTTGAACGTACAATACAAAGTAGGAAAAAAATACAAAAAAATCCAAATCAGCCGTCATAAGATATTCAAAACAATCAAAAGTGATGACTATCTTCTAGTAAGTCAAGTTGACTTGTAAGTTTTTCATATAGATTTTCTAAAAAGTCAAAAATTTAGCAAAAGTGAGCCTGAACTAATCTTCAATTCTAGATCTAAGGACAAATTTAGCAACCTACATTTTAAAGCTAAACATATAAATGAAATCATAAGTTATATTAAAAATTTACTCATAGAAGAAAACATGTTAAATAAAAACTTGATTCCCCTGTTTTTTTGCATACTTTTGGATTTTTCTTTCATTTTCAACTTTGCTGATGCAAATCAGCAAGAAGCAGAAGCTCTCATCAAATGGAAGCAGAGCTTGCATAGTCATAACCAGTCATTTCTGTCATCTTGGTCACTTCCGAGTACCGCGAAAAACAGCAATGTTGTCAATCCATGCCATTGGCTTGGAGTTGGTTGTGAAAATGGTTATGTTACAAGGTTGAACTTAACCAATGTGGGTTTAACAGGTACCCTTTATGCCTTCAATTTTTCTTCTTTGTCGAATTTAACTTTTCTTGATCTTCATGATAATAATCTCTTTGGAAATATCCCTTTATCAATTAGTAACCTCACTAAACTTACTAGCCTTCATTTGGGAAACAACCAATTCATTGGAAAACTACCCTTAGAACTTGGAAAAATGACTACCCTCACATATCTGAACTTTATTAACAACTTTCTTTCAGGCCACATTCCATCTTCTTTAGGCAATCTAACCTCTCTTTCTCTCCTGAACCTTGGAAATAATCGGTTTGTGGGTACGATTCCTCCTGAGCTTGGGAATATGGTATCACTTAAAGAGCTTCGTATTAACTTGAACAACCTTACAGGTCCAATACCGCCTTCTATTGGAAATCTGAGAGGGTTGAAGGTTTTGTCAGTTTATGGAAACAAGTTGTCAGGTTCAATTCCAAAGGAGTTTGATAACCTCACTAACTTAACTTTGTGTTTTTTTTTCAAATAACACAATTTCTGGCTCACTTCCTGCCAAGCTTTGCCAAGGTGGGATTCTTCAAGATTTTTGTGCAAGTAACAACAGGTTTTCAGGTACTGTACCAAAAGGGTTGAAAAATTGCACCAGTCTGACAAGATTAAGGCTTGATAGAAACCATTTTGTGGGTAATATAACAGAAGATTTCGGGGTGTACCCCGTTGTTGATTACATTGATTTGAGTTACAATAACTTTGAGGGTGAGATTTCTTCCAATTGGGCTAGGTGCAAAAACATGACTAGTCTCAAGATTTCTGACAACAACATTACTGGTAAAATACCGCCTGAGTTGGGGTTAGCAACCAAGCTGCAGTATCTAGATTTGTCATCTAATCAGCTGGTGGGAGTGATTCCGAAAGAGTTGGGAAATTTGAAGTCATTGTTCAATCTCACATTGAGTGATAACAAGCTCATTGGGAGCATTCCCAATGAACTTGGTAATTTGCTTGATTTAGCCTCTCTTGATCTTGGTGGGAATGGATTAAATGGAACGATCCCAGAAGGAATAGGAAATTGCCTAAAGATGATCAACTTGAACCTAAGTCGAAACAGCTTGAGTGGAGTTATTCCTTGGCAGATTGGGAATCTTGTGAGTCTACAAGTACTGTTAGACATAAGCAGAAACTCACTTTCAGGGGAGATTCCATTGCAACTTGGGAAGTTGGTTAGCTTGGAAGACTTGGATCTTTCTCATAACAATCTTTCTGGCCAAATCCCGTCAACTTTCGATCAAATGCAAAGTTTGATGTCTGTTGATATGTCCTACAACAACCTTGAGGGTCCTCTTCCTGATGGCAAAGTGTTCACGAATGCACCCCTCGAATCGTTTATGGGAAACAAAGCTCTATGTGGGAACATAACAGGCTTAATGCCTTGTCCTAGAGCCCTTAATATTTCTAAGAGGAACGGCAAAGATAGAGTGATACTGATTACTGCTCCCATCATAGGAGTTGGAGCTTTATGCATCATTGTAGCGGTTGCCTTGTATCTTCTGAAAGGGGGTAAAGGGGAGAAAACTAGGAAACTAGGCTCACATCGAGAAAACATGTTCTCTATATGGAGCTTTGATGGGAAGTTGGTATACAAAGACATAAACGAAGCAACAGAAGGGTTTGACGCGAAGTACTGTATAGGAGAAGGTGGTCATGGGACTGTGTATAAAGCAGTCCTGTCAACAGGGCAAATTGTTGCTGTTAAGAAGCTGAAAACTGCACAAAACCCGGGTTTTGTGAAAGGAAAGAATTTTGAGGCTGAAATCGAAGCATTATCCAAGATTAGACATCGAAACATTGTGAAGCTTAATGGGTTTTGCTCCCATGCCCAACATTCGTTGTTGGTCTACGAGTACTTGGAGAGGGGAAGCTTGGGGAAGTTGCTAGGGAACGCGAAGGAAGCAAGAGAATTAGACTGGGAAAAGAGGATTAATGTGATCAAGGGGATTGCAAATGCACTTTGTTATATGCATTATGATTGTTCTCCTCCTATAATCCATAGAGATGTTTCTTCCAACAATGTGTTGCTTGATAGAGATTATGAGGCTCGAGTTTCCGATTTTGGCACAGCTCGGCTTCTATGTCTAGATTCTTGCAACTTGACCGAGCTTGCTGGAACATATGGCTACATTGCTCCTGGTAATACTCACTCTTCTCTAATATACTCAATAATTTTTGTACATCACTTGAAAAGTTGATATATTTTCTTCCATGATATGCTAATTATAGTCTCACTAGAAATTTGATGAATAATTTTGCTTAGTATTTGGTTCATTGTATACAATGTTACATTTATCTTATGTATCAAATACAATTCTAACCAAAATCATCATCCACTCATTATATTTCCTTGCAGAGCTAGCTTATACCACGAAACCTACCAAGAAATGTGATGTCTACAGCTTCGGAGTTGTAGCACTAGAGGTTATAAGGGGAAGCCATCCAGGAGACCTTATATCTCCATCTTCAAGCTCATCGGCGTACACTTCATCATCATCCTCGTCTGCAGCATCTAACACTTCTCTTCTCGAAAGTACTCCTAACTTGATCCCAAAAGATCTCTTAGACACTCGTCTACCATATCCTGCTTCAGGATTGGCTCATGAGATAGCAATTATCATTAAGTTAGCTTTAGAGTGCATTAAGGATGATCCACATGTAAGACCAACCATGCAGTATGTGTGCCACCAATTGCAACCAACACGAAAATTAGCTCTGTCGAATTCAATAGAGAAGATCATGTCATGGAATGGGTGTGAAAGTAGTAGTGAAGGCGCGAAGAGCATGAGGTCTTCTAGTTGTTCTTCAGGTCATAAAGTTGATATCGTCTAAGCTATTAAGTCTGATGAGCATAAAAAATCGCAATCTTGTATGGGATATCTCTAGACGAGGGACTTTTTGTAGACTTGCTTGTATGTACTCATAGAGATTTAAAAGATTTGTAGTTGTACAATAATTTAGAGTACAGGAAGCCATGAAAGGGCGAAGGGCTAGTCGCGAAGATCATCTACGATCTTGTGCCGCTATTAGGTGGCTTAAGTTCACACCCCCCCCCCCCCCCAAAAAAAAAAAATATTTGGAACTTTTGTTATATATAAGTAATTTGATTCATATCAACTCCGATCCATTCAGTCTAAACGAACAGGGCCTTGATATTGACAAATTAACAGTTATTAAAGCAGTAGATTACTACATAAAACTATATAAGCTTTACACAAACATTTAACACAAAATCTTCAATATTATTTATCAGTGGCAAATTGTTTCAGTCAGAACATTAGAATGTTAAACATTCAATACAAGTATTACTATACCTTCCTCATAATCATATTGTAAGTCCAATGAAAATAAATAAACTAACTTATATCATGGTCTATTTCTCTAAGATAAGAGAAATTCATGATCATACACAAATTTAACTAAACCTCGAAAAATAAAATAAGAGCAAAATCACGCTTGGGATACTCCATAGTTGGTTACTTGGTGGATTTATCTAGCAAACACCATTGGTCTTCAACTTCCTTTCATCGACGAATTTCTTCCAAACACTGCAAACCTCCATTTGCATTTCCAAGGCACTCTTCTTCCTAGTCATTTGTTGAGTACCATCCTCTGAGTTCGCAGCATTTAGCTTAGCACTAGCGCGAGCAGGTTGGGCATCAAGCTCGCTGAGCACCTTTTGGATGTCAGCAACAAGTCGGTCTGCAAGGGTGCGAGAGAAGTCCTCTCGGATGACAACACGCAACACTGTCACATGTTGCGCGTCTGGGGGCATGGTGTAAGCTGGTACAATCCACCCGAACCTACGAAGCATGTCTGAGATCTCGAACTCATTGTGGATACTATTGTCTTTTAAAGAGAATGCCACTAATGGAACTCCTATATCCTTCGATATGATGTTGAAGCGGCCAGTTTTTTCAATTCCATTCTTCAAGATCACCGCGTTTTCTTGGCAGTTTTCCATGATATTCTTGTATCCCTATCAAATTTATAAGACATAATAACTCCGTTCATTTAGTGAAAATGCAACTGACTAGAAAACATACAATTATTGTTAAATTGACTAGAAAATGTACATTGTAAAGCTGTGAATGTTAAAAGACCAACTCAACCAAATGTTTAAACTGATGATTGAAGCCCAAAATATCATTATACTTTATCTTCGAAAATTTAACATGTACTAAAAATAACACAAGGAATACCTCAAATCCCAAACGAATCAATTGATAGTATTGCGCAATAATTTGACTTGATCCTACAATAATACAAGATCATTGAACATTTAGAAAAACCAACACAAGAAAGTTGAATTTACTGAAATAATATAAAGTTTGTAAATTCAGTTATATACCTTTAGAAAAATTGAGAGTGAAAGTGGGTTGATCAGCACCAAGGTAGTTAATATGAAAGATGAGTTCTTCAGGCAAGTCCTCCTTGCTCCTCCAAATAACCCAACCAACACCGGCATACACAAGTCCGTACTTGTGACCACTTACATTGATACTCTTCACCAATGGCAATCGAAAGTCCCACTCCAACTCAGGGTATATAAATGGCGCGATGAATCCACCACTTGCTGCATCCACATGAATTGGAGTATCCCATCTACACATAACAATACAAGAAAAGGAGAAAAATTAGCCTAGGCCAAGCATACTATACACGTTGTTAGTCATTGTAAATTGGACAATAGACTAAAATGTACATAAAAATGACCAATGATTATTGTTTAGTGTATTTTGTAGTGAGGAATATACCCTGTTTCTTTGTTCTTGGCCTCGAGGAGGTCGTTCAAGAGCTTAACATCTTCGAATTCTCCATTGAGAGTTGATCCAAGGATGGCCGCGACACAGATAGTGTTCTCATCAACCATTTCCACAGCCTTCTCAGGGTCCATGACATAGTATCCGTCGCTTAGCTTGACTTCCTTCAACTCCACCTCGAAATATCTTGCAAATTTCTCCCAACATACCTAGTAAAAACCATGCACCAAAAAATTTGTTACAACCTCAAAGTAGCCAAATGTCTATTAAAAATGAAGATGGATAACGGTGTATTGAAAAGCATACATACATGAATCTTTTTCTCACATAAAATGGTAAATCCGTAATGATTTATGATTTTTTTTTTCAAAAAATTAGACGTCTGTTATTACTTATTAGTGATTGTCACAATACAACAGTTATCTCACGATGAAATAAGACTATAATCTTAAAGTAATTTAACTTAATATGTGACGTTTAGAAACAACAACAACAAAACTTTAGTCCCAAAATAATTTGGGGTCGACTAACTTATTATTTGACGTTTACAAGTTATCTTACAAAAATTAAGAAATCACACTTGGAACAAAAAAAAACACAGAAAAAAAATGGTAATGGATCAAATAAAATGGGCCAAAAAGTAAAGAATACCTGAACGTTGGCACCAGTAACGATGTTGGGCTTGTCAATGGGTAGGCCGGCAGCCCGCCTTTTGTTTTGCCACCTTCTTTTGAAAGCCAAACCAGCAAGCATGATAGCTTCTGAGGAGCCCACAGTTCCAACTCCAACAGCCACCTCTGAGTCTTTTAGTGGCGCATTAAATAAGTTTGCTATCATGTTAACGCACCTATTCTGTTTCCCACACAATTAACAACATTAACAAACTCAATTAGACTTAATTAAAACCTTTAAAGTACTAGTACTAACTTCAATGAAACCATCATCGTCCAAACATGAAGAACTCTTATATTTATTCATTCTTAAAGTACCTAGTAGTTAATATTCTATTCTTAAATTAAGTCATTCTTGTTATATGGGTGCGACATTAATACCAAATAAGTACTCTCACTTGGTAATTGGTAGGATTCGAAATTTTAAATCTCAAACCTTTAAGATATAAAGTAAGAACTTTACCAAATAAGCCAAAACTTTATCGGTGTTAAAAGGATAAATAATAGTGGTCCAATTGTAATTATTCTATTGCTAAATACTTCATTTCACATTCACTTAATTTTAAACTCACTGTCATTGAAAGTATATATACTTTGTTCAATTTTTTAACTTTGTTTGAAAATTATTGTCCAAGTGGTCTTCTCATTCTCTTTCGCTTACCATCTCATTATTGTCCACTTAAAATCTAGACAATCTTTTTTTTTTTCCTGATTTTTCTTTATTATGCAAGTAATAAATGTTAGAAATAGGCATGTAAATAAGGGACCTAGGAAGTAGCATTTTTGTTTCTAAATATTACAATTCACAACCACGTACTAGAAAGTATCTTCGTATTTTTTTTTTCCGATCCTTCCTAATTGTATGATATGTTGATAATTCAATTTGTAAAACAGTAAAATTCTAAAATCAAGTAGGACATTAAAAATTGTCCCATCAAGGGCAGCAATTTTGTTGAAAAGGTCATAATATTTGTCCTGACTTATACAAAGAAATTTCTTTAATATGTCCCTTTCGAGTTTTTCTTTCCTTTGAAACTTAGGCATTCATACATGTCCATATTAAAGACAACTAACATTAATTCTCGGGCAACTACTTTGATTCATATAGTGTTTTTTCTCATCCAATTTGTTCTTCTTGTACAAATTTATTTTACGAGACAAAAATAAATTAAATCGAAAAGGATAAAAAGAATCCGAGGTTGTAATAGTATTTAATAAACTCAAAATGCCTTGGTTGTTCTTGTAGAACAAGTTTATTGGTAATCTTTAAACTTTACAATGGAGACAATACATGGAGTGGAGTGGGCTGTATGTCGCCCTTAAATAATGATTAATCAACACTTTTTTAAATTGTAGTGTTCCTTTCAATACACGTTATTGGACATAATTAAAAATTTTGTGAATGTTACTCGTATTTGTTAGGTAGAACTAGTGTCAATATAATAGATATTACCTTTTTCATTAATGTAAAATATTACAAGTGGTATTAGCCTATTAAATTATTAGGTTGAGCAAAAATTAGTTTTATTTTTGTAATGAAAAAATTATATAAAACGGATGGAAATATGGAATTTATGTACAAAGACGTGGTTGAGAAAATGAGAAGTATAGGAGATAGAAACTTGGTTCATATAATTGACCGCCCGACTCACTCAGATATAATAAGTTCAAATAAAAAGAACGCATTCAAAATAAATATTTTAGAAATCGGCCCAATAAAAAAAGACGAACCTGGAGCTCAGTGGTGACAGGGTATTCATCCATGTCAACATAATTTTTGTTGATGGCATCCATCATAAGCTTATCACATTCGGGCTCCATCCATGTTGTTACAAACGAAGCCAAATTCAACCTTGGATTTCCATCCAACATTAATTCATCGTTTATTATTTGGTACGCTGCTTCCTTTGGTATCGAATTTTCTGGCATCTTAAACCTTTTTTTACCAAACATATGTAAAAAAATAAATTAAATAAATATATAAACTACAACCATTATGATCATCACGTAAACAAGCAACAAATGAACATATATTATGCGCTTAAGGGCTAACAATAAACATTAAACATTAAATCGGCTTTAAAAAATATATAACACGTGACTTTTGACTTTTGTCATATAATAAGTTGTAAAAGTTACATATATCAAAATGTTACGCCGATTAATTACCTGGGAAGACATACGCGGACATATCTTGAAGCAAAAGTAGAGTGAATTGAAGCATCGGATTCAGATGCAGCTTTTGAGAGCGCCATTTTTTTCTTTTTTGATAGATGGATTTGTGAGCTTGAGATAATAGATTGAGGAGAGAATAAGAAATGAGAAGAAAATAGAGGAATAGATGGAGTGGAGAAGAAGGAGGAAGGCCTGTTTTAATTAATACTACGACGAATTTCAAGGAAATTGATTAATCAATTGATTACTAACTTAATTAAAAGTAGTCATTTTAATTGAATGAATAATAAGACTTTAATGATTAAAAGTTTAATAATAGATGTAATTGTATAGATAGTGGCCCAGATGTTAAGTTATACAAATATCTAGGATAATTAATTAAATAATTAATTAAGTTGCCAAAAAAAGAAAATAAAAGATTATTAGTATGTAGTATGAACTTAAGGAAGGTTCATACTCGACTACTCGTTTTCAATTTTACTTTTTTTTTTTATGGACCGACGAATGTGCATATTAGGAGTAATGTTGACTTGCGCTTTTTTTTTTTTTTTTTTTTTTTTTTTTTTTTTTTTTTCAAGTGTTCATTTCATATTAAAATTCAATGTAAGAAGATTTTATTTTGTATTTGTATTTTGGTAAAGATTTTCTGTTAATGTGTAATTTTTCACGAAATTTTACTAAAGTTTTTATCATTTTCTTTGTGTAATGTCTTTATGTTTTTGGTAATACATATTTTTTGTCAAATACAAAAATGTTCTTTGTCAAACATCTATATGTTCTTTATCAAACACTTGTATGTTTTTTTTCGCTTTTTTTTTGTTTAACCAGATGCACCTTGCTCATCATGGTTGCACCCGGGTGCACAAATCAGTTGTTAGTAATATCGTACATGAATAAGACAATAATGAGAGTAGTCAAGCTAAGGTTGACCTAGTGGTTAGAGGTCCTCCTTCCACCCTTATGAGAGGGGTTCGATTTTCACCCCAAGTAAGTGGAATCCTTAATTCTCCCCTACTTGCAAGAAAAAAGATAATACGGAGTAATAGATAAGAGGATTAATTTCATGTTTAGGGGAACGAAATCAAACCTAATTATAGGAATAGATTTATTGGTGGAATATATCATGCATGTGTCGTTTGATAGTTGTAAGTTTTCTTTTTTTCTTTTTTTTTTTGACCGGTAAATTACGAGGAGGGACCCCATCCTATCTCAGGAATGGGGCTGTGAGGAGTCAAACCCCCATCACATGGGGGGAGATGGAGGGACCAACCATCCCTCCATCCCCTCACTCCTCTTGTAAGTTTTCTTTTGACACTAGCATTCAATCCTACACTCAATAGTCAATAATATGATGTTTTGTCAAAAAAAAAAATTAAACAATACATATTATGTTCCTTTTTTTTTTTGAAGCAATGCATGTTATGTTCCTAAATTAAAAGAAGATATAAATCAAATTGATATTACAAATAATTCAATAATACATATATAAAAAAAAATTGGATAAAAAAAAAAGAACTTACGGCATAAGATGTAAAAAATAACGCATTATACATAGAGTTGTCAATTTGGGTAAATGGGTCGGTTTTGGGTCGGGTCAACTCGGGTTGGGTCAATTTAGACTAATTCCATAACCTATGCGGGTCGGGTTTGGGTTCGGTCATGCTTGAGTCGGGTCATACTTCTTATCGGGTTTGAGTCAGGTTTAGGTCAGGTTATATTCGGGTCGGATGAACAATAGGTCGGGTTTAATTCGGCTTAAAACGGGTTAGGGTAATTTTCGGATTCGAGTCGGGTTCAGTTCATGTCAATAATTTGCGGGTTAGAATGAGGTCGGGACATTCTCGGGTTTTAGTCGGGTTCGGTTCAAGTCAATAATTTGCGGGTTATAATCAGGTCGGGTCTTTTTCAAGTCGGGTTCGGTTAAAGTCAATAATTTGCGGGTTATAATCAGGTTGGGTCATTTCCAAGTCGGGTTATTCTCGGATTCAAGTTGGGATATGTTCAAGTCAATAATTTGCAAGTTACAATCATATCGGGTCATTTCCAAGTCAGGTCATATTCGGGTTCAGCTGACTATAAATAAATAATTATCATTTTTATCAAGCTAATTATTTCCTTTGACTATAATATATATATATATATATATATATATATATATATATATATATATATATATATATATATATATATATATCAATATACTAGGAAATTATAGTCTATAATTTAGGAAAGTAACTATCTCCTTTGACCATACAACAAATATATACTACATTTAACTCTTAAATTTGAGGATGATGCTCCTTTCTTTTGTTGACCTGGACCGACTTGGTCTCCCTAGATAAAATGTTTTGATTAACAATAATAAGGCGGTATAAATTGCATGCAAGGTGATTTGAAATCAGGTCAGGAATAATTTGGGTTGAATATAGGTCGGGTCAATAACAAGTCGTGTTAATTTCAAGTCGGATTAGTAACAGATCGAGTTGAATTTTTGGGTCGGGTAAGTAATAGGTCTGTTGAAATTCGGTTCAGGTCAATAACAAGTCGGGTTGATTTCGGGTAGAGTTTGTAACAGGTTGGGTTAAATTTGGGTCGGGTTATGAACATGTCGGGTTGAATTCAGGTCAGGTTAGTAACAAGTAGGGTTAAATACTTAAATTCAGGTTTCGAGGGGTTAAAACGGGTTTGGGTCAATTTCGGCTCAAGTCGGGTTCGGTGCAAGTTAATTAAATTGTTCGTTCTAAACAGGTAAATCGGTGCAACATGTAAACTGGTAAATTGGTCGTTTTAAGGCAAATTGGATGGTTCCACCCACCCAATTGGACTCCCAGAGGATATTAGGAACCATGGTAAAAATTTCGGAAATTTTATTTCTGGACGAAAAAAAGTCAAAAAAATTCCAAAGTAGAAGGCTAATATCCACGTTTTTTGAGAAATTTTGGAGGTTTCGGGGCCCGGTGTAGAAAAGTCTTGATATTTTAGGGGATATATCTCGGGGTCATATAATGTCGTTTGGAACCATATGTGATCATTATATGTTGTATGTCATAAATATTCGTAGTACACTTGAGTTAATGAAATCCGTGCAAGTTGTAAACCGGTAAATTGGTCGTTTAAAGGCAAATTGGATAGTTCCACCATCCCAATTGGACTCCCGGGGGGTATTAGGGACCATAGAATACATTTTGGAAATTTTTATTTTCAAGCGAAAAAAAAATCAAAAAATTCAAAAAATGAATACTAATATCCACGCTTTTTGAGAAATTTTGAAGGTTTCAGGGCCCAGTGTCAAAAGGTCTTGAAATTCTGTGGGATACATCTTGGGGTCATATAATGCCGTTTGGAACCATATATGATCATTATTTGTTGTCATAAATGTTCGTGGTAGGCTTGAATTAATGAAATCGGTGCAAGTTGTAAATCGGTAAATTGGTCGTTTTAAGGCAAATTGGATGGTTCCACCCACCCAATTGGACTCCCAGAGGATATTAGGAACCATGGTAAAAATTTCGGAAATTTTATTTCTGGACGAAAAAAAGTCAAAAAAATTCCAAAGTAGAAGGCTAATATCCACGTTTTTTGAGAAATTTTGGAGGTTTCGGGGCCCGGTGTAGAAAAGTCTTGATATTTTAGGGGATACATCTCGAGGTCATATAATAACGTTTGGAACCATATATGATCATTATATGTTGTCATAAATGTTCGTTGTAGACTTGAGTTAATGAAATCCGTGCAATTTGTAAACCGATAAATTGGTCGTTTAAGGGCAAATTGGATGGTTCCACCTACCAAATGGGACTCCCGGACGGTATTAGGGACCATGATAAACATTTTGGAAATTTATTTCCGGGCGAAAAATGTCAAGAATTTCAAATTTGAAGGCTAATATCCACGCTTTTAGAGAAACTTTGGAGGATTTGGGGCCCGGTGTCGAAAAGTCCTGAAATTCTACGGGATACATCTCGGGGTCATATAATGCCGTTTGGAACCATATATGATCATTATTTGTTGTCATAAACGTTTGTGGTAGGCTTGAGTTAATGAAATCAGTGCAAGTTATAAACCGATAAATAGGCCGTATAAAGGCAATTTTGATGGTTCCACCCACACAATTGACTCCCGAAGGGTATTAGGAACCATGTTAAACGAACATTTCGGCAATTATTATTTTCAGGCGAATAAAGTCTGGAAATTCTAAAATTAAAGGCTAATATCTACACTTTTTGAGAATTTTTAGAGCTTTCGAGGTCCGTATCGAAAAGCCTTGAGACTCTAGGGAACCATATATGATCACTATTTGTTGTCATAAATGTTCGTGGTTGGCTTAAGTTAATGAAATCGGTGCAAGTTGTTAACCGGTAAATTGGTTGTTTAAAGGCAAATTGGATGGTTCCACCTACCCAATTGGACTACCGGAGGAGATTAGGGACCAAGGTAAAAATTTCGGCAATTTTTATTTTCGTGCGAAAAAAAAGTCAAAAATTTCAAAAATTGAAGGCTAATGTCTACGCTTTTTGAGAAATATTTGAGATTTCGGGGTACGATGTCGCAAAGTTTTGATATTTTAGGGAATAAATCCGGGGGTCATATTATTCCATTTGGAACCATATACGATCATTATATGTTGTCATAGATGTTCATGGTAGACTTGAGTTATTGAAATCGGTGCAAGTTGTAAACTGGTAAATTGACATTTTAAAGGGAAATTGGATGGTTCCACCCACCCAATTGGACTTCTGGAGGGTATTAGCTAGGGAACATGGTAAACATTTCAACAATTTTTATTTTCGGCAAAAAAAAAGTCAAAGAATTCCAAAATTGAAGGCTAAGCTCTACGCTTTTTGAGAAATTTTGGAGGTTTCGAGACCCGGTGTCGAAAAGTCTTGAAATTTTAAGGGATACATCTCTGGGTCATATAATGTCGTTAGGAACCATTTATGATCATTATAAGTTGTAATAAATGTTCGTGGTAGGCTTGATTTAATGAAATCGGTACAAGTATTAAACTGGTAAATTGGTCGTTTAAAGTAAAAAAATTCAAAAATTGAAAGCTAATATCTACCTTTTTGAGAATTTTTGGAGTATTCGGGGCCTGGTGTCTAAAAGTCTCGAAATTCTAGGGAATACATCTCGGGGTCATATAATGTCGTTTGGAATCATATGTGATCATTTTTTTTTTGCCATAAATGTTCGTGGTAGGCTTGAGTTAATGAAATCGGTGCAAATTGTAAACCAGTAAATTGGTCGTTTAAAGGAACCCAATTGGACTCCCAGAGGGTATTAGGGAGCATGGTAAACATTTCAGCAATTTTTATTTTCAAGCGAAAAAATGTCAAAATAGTCCAAAATTGAAATCCACGCTTTATGAGAAATTTGGGATGTTTCAAAACCTGGTGTCAAAAAGTTTTGAGATTTTAGGAATATATCTTGGGGTCATATTGGAACCATATATGATCATTATATGTTGTCATAAATGTCCGTTGTAAACCGGTATATGTTGTCATATATGATCATTATATCTTGAGTTAATTAAATTGGTGCAAGTTGTAAACCGGTAAATTGGCCGTTTAAAGGCAAATAGGATGGTTCCACCCAACCAATTTGACTCCCGGAGGGTATTAGGGACCATGGTAAACATTTCGGTAATTTTTATTTTCTGGTTAAAAAGTCAAAAAATTTCAAAATTGAAAGCTAATATCCACGCTTTTTGAGAAATTTTGGAGGTTTCGGGTAGAGCTGTCAATTCGGGTAAACGGATCGGATTTGGGTCGTTAAGACTGGGTCGGGTTAACGCGGGTCGGTTCAATTCGGATTAATGCTATAACCTATGTGGGTTGGGTTATGCTTGAGTCGGGTCATACTTATAATCGGGTTTGGGTCGAGTTTAGGTTGTGTTACACTCGGGTTGGCAATAGGTCGGGTTTAATTCGGGTTAAAACAGGTTAGGGTAGTTCTCGGGTTCGAGTCGGGTTCGGTTCTAGTCAATTATTTGCGGATTAGAATCAGGACGGGTCATTCTCGGGTTTGGTTCAAGTTAATAATTTGCGGGTTATAATCAGGTCGGGTCATTCTCGGGTTCAAGACAATCAGATCGGGTCATTTCTAAGTCAGGTCATATTCGGGTTCAACTAACTATAAATAGATAATTATCATTTTTGTCAACCTAATTATTTCATTTGACTATAATATATATGGCAATATACTAGGAAACTATGGTCTATAATTTAGGAAAGTAATTATCTCCTTTGACCATACAACAAATGTATACTATATTTAACTCTTAAATTTGAGGTTGATGCTCCTTTCTTTTGCTGGCCTGCACCAACTTGGTCTCCCTAGACAAAATGCTTTGATCAACAATAATAAGGTGGTCTAAATTGCATTTAAGGTGATTTGAAATCGGGTCAGGAACAATTTGGGTTGAATTTAGGTCGGGTTAATAACAAGTCGTGTTGATTTCGAGTCAGATTAGTAACAGATTAAGTTTGTATGTATGGCTGTTTAATTTTGTTTGTTATAGGTGCCTTCAGCCTTCACAAATTATCAAATAGCACGTGATAAAAAAAATTATATATATATATATATATATATATATATATATATATATATATATATATATATATATAGAGAGAGAGAGAGAGAGAGAGAGAGAGAGAGAGAGAAAATTGGGGTCTTGTGCAAGCGGGCTTCTTGCACTCCCCCTTCTACGACCATGTCCATGGCTATCAAACACTAGCTACACATGAAAGCATGAATCTAAAATAGAATTACCTTATACGTTTGGATGTATCTAAACTTATCTACTCATGCTAAAAAAAAATACGTTCTTATGAGTGAATTTAATGATGATAAGACATGTACAAGACCAAAACTTAGATGTAGGCTATGTACCCATTTTAGATTCCTTGAAATTAATCAATAATTAGACATGTTGCACACAATACCATGTTTATTTATTGCTTTAACGTCATGTTCAGGACCCAATCATGGGTGAGACATGAAACTTTCAAGACCCATACATACTACAGTAGTATATTGATCTTGATTCCTTACTTGGCAGACACTAATAATTGCTTCTCAATCAACAAAGCTATCTCACAAAAAAACTCCATGTCTAGAAACAAGATAATTTTTTATTTCTTACACGGAATGCTACCTTCGCCACACAATATCATTAAGAGATCAATCACAATTAATTGAGGTTTGTTTCACCTTCTTTTATGATGACTTACAATATTTTTGTTCACTTTTGAAAAACAAGTTGATGATACCAACTGTCACAGTCCGGGAGTTTGAACCCCAAAACGTGCGGCGCGCTCTAGCCGTTTGGCGGCAAGAACGCTAGCCTTGAGCGGAAGAGGGACTTGTGAGCACAAAGCAACACAAGCGGGCAATTAAATCAAAGGAGTACTCACGTCTATTTGGGCAACGGAGTGCGGGTGGTCGGGGCTTGTGACGGCCGATACTTCAAGGCGGGCACAAGCGGGTCCGAACCACGAGTTCTTAGTGTATCAAGTTAGTTTGAAGGGGGATTATTATGCAAGACACAATATCTATAAAGGTCTAACAACAAACAAGCATAAAAGCAAGGCAACACTTGGTAGAAGCGAGAAAGAAAATTTTCTTAATACAAATAAGTTGATAACTACTCATACATTTATGTTACTTTCAGCCCGTGACCTTTGTATTACGCTAGTTCCGATACTATGTTAAAGAACCAACTCAACTAAAAGCTAAAACAAATGATATTTTATACTCTATTAATGTATACAGAATTGCAACAAATAAACACGAGCTATCAAATCAAGCAGTTAGCTATGTTTAATTTCCTTTCTGATCCGACAGATCAGAACACTCAGCTATACATATTATAATAATGGATTAATGATGAAATAGGAATAATTACCAGTAACATGAATAGACGACCTACCACTTTAAACAAAGTACTCCCTCCCCTTAATTACATTACTCGTGATTTAACTCGTGTCACACGCCGACCTTTTTCAAGCGATGATCTAATATGAAAGGAAGAAAATTCTATCTTATCCTAAATAAATAAATAAATATACCAATGGAAATAGGTGTTCTAGATGAAAAGAGTTAAAATGGAATTAAATGAGCGAAAATTTTGTATTCTACTATTAGAAGAAGAAGAAAACAAAAAAAAAAAAAACTGTATTGTTCTTACTTTACTAAATACAATATCGATAAATGTTGAATAAGTAAAGACAAGACATTTTAAGACATGATAACAATGAGTGACACAAGGTATGACTCACAAGGATCTTGGCAACAAGGAGGCCTTAAAACAAACCTCAATGCATAATTGATTCAAAAAATGTGCTCTACAGACCAAATTTGAAAATACGAAATTAGTCTATTTTTGCATATTTTGGTACCCAACATCAAAAACTTAAGTAATGGTAAGAGATGCATCAAGGGATCCTATCTTGTTTGGAACAATATACAATTTAGTCGGTAACACAAAAGCCCGTAGTGGCCTTGTTATAACGAAGAAGGTCGATCGCATAAAGACTAAAATTGACAGTTTAAGAGGCAAAGTGGACAATTTCAACCATCCAAATAACCTCCCAAGATCTCATTGAGTCATAAGAAGCACTCAAACCTCTTTTTTTTTAGTCTGAAAAAGTCGAAAATTGTCTAAAATTAAAAGGTTATATATATAGTCCACATTCTTTGATCAATTTTCGAAATTTTTTTCCCAAATAAAAAAGAAATGTGTGAGTTGTCCCCTAGGCTTACCAGTATGTTTCTCGCCTCTAATATGATATTAGTTCAATGATATGGTTGTTTTAGAATTTTATTGCTATGGTAGTCAGAAACAAGAAATGATTCCAATCACCATGTTGGCATCCCAAGATAAGGTGTTGCAAATCCATCATACGGCTATCCAAATTTCTACGAGTACATCTTAATGAAATTACTTTGCCAAGGTTTTTCATGATCAGAAAATATGTGTGACTAACCTACATACATACTTTATGTTCTTTATACAGCCAAAGATGCACTTATGCCTTGCCTGCTCAAGACCATCAATCCTTTTCAGCATAAAAAGTATTCACTTGTTGCAGAAACTAGAAGCTCTTGTTTGTCGACTAATAGTCCTTCAGAAACTGAATAAAGAGATGCTAGCTAATCTGGTGATGAAGTCCATAGTGCAGAGGAAAAGTGGTGCTTGAAAAAATTATTATCAGGGTTTAAGAGCAAAAATTTACATTTTGTAAAGAAATGCGCATTAATCTCCTACTCAACTCTATTTCACGTAAAATAAACCAGAAAACCTCATCAACATAACCAGCTTGTATCTTATGCTTTGGTTTAACTTCCTCGTATAAGACAGGTATTTAATTTGTACACGTACCTGTACAGCTACAATTAACTTCAAGCTGTGATGTGCTGCTTAACTACGGACTGTAGTTCCCAACCAACAAAGCAAAATTGAAGTCATTAGCTAGCATTTGATGGTGCTTCAGTCTCAGGTTGGATTTCATCATAAGTGCCAGTAGCCTCATTGTATTTGTACCTGTACAGAAGTTCAACGTGTCATATACACAGAAAAAACAGAGATATCAGACGAGGGCTTGATTTCTAAGGGTGTTAACAGAGCACTTGTTATATAAAGATCACCAAAAGCAACAATATCAGAGCTTAAAATCCAAAAGAGATGGAGTTGGCTACAAAGACCAAAGTGTCATCTCCTTCAGTGCTGAGTAGCACATGTGAAAGCAATATTATGAACATCAAGCAAACTTATCACGAGCACTTCATATAAACAAATATTACTCATCTAACCATGCCAAAATTGCATTATGCTAGGGATGAAGTAATTATGAAATGACCACGCTCAGCTACAGAACATGTTTAAAAAGTTTACTATCATCTGGCACCTGCCCAAAGTTCTTTCTATAAAGACACTCTTTTCACTGATATCACAAATGAAATTACCCCCCTTCCTCACTAACAATAAATAAAGCAAACTCGAAGCAAAATCTAGCAAAATATATAAAAGTGAATAAGAAGTGCAGAATTACCATTGTCCTGATGATGCAGAGCAAAACAATCCAGTAGAGGGATCATAGTAGTATCCTAGGCTGCTACTGTAATAGTATCTGTGAATGGAAAACACTTCATCAGATGAAGAACTGAATAGATATAGCTAAGAATAACAGAGCAAGAATAAACTTAAGAAGATAAAGCATAACCAAGCAACCACCAAAGACCTAATCCATCATACAGAAACTAAGTACGTCTTACAGCATCGCAAGGCACTTTACCATGTGGCAGCTTAGCAATATAATCCAAGCTGTGTGATTTCCAGATAGCCATAGCATCCAAAACCACACAAAGACATGAAGCACATTATTATAAACTTCATGGAAACCATTTCTGAGCCTGAAATAATTTATCAGACTTCCAAAAGCTTCATTCTATTTCATACTTCAAAAGTTATTCATTATTCTTGTGCACACAAGTACACAAGAATAAATGATTTAGCTTTAAGCTTTAAAGCCATTTTCTAATTTCAATTTATAATATAACATACTTCTGAAGATCTTTTCAACATAGAGCTGCTAAGATTCATAGAAATATTAAGAATCTAGCACATACACAAAATAAATTTATCAGACATCAAATACATCCTACATGTTTTTTATCAAACAAAATTCACTTCATAAAACAACTCAAATTAAATCTCAAGACAAGTATACATCCTACATGTTTTTTTATCAAACAAAATTCACTGAGGATATGCACCAAAGATATACAAGTATACATGTGACAACAGCTGGGAAAATGTGATTGTGCATTGAGAGTTGTGTCAACAGAAAATACACTTCATAAAACAACTCAAATTAAATCTCAAGACAAGTTCAAACAGTAAAGACAGTAAAACAAGAAACACAAGTTCACAGGAAATGATATTGACAAGGTGTAAGAATGTACCCTGATGTTTCGTCGTACACATAATCACTTTGCCCAGCCCAAGAACCTAAAATAAATGAGAATGAATTATCTCACCAACAATGCTATTGTTTTCTTTTTAATATCATATAGGCATTAAACATACTTTCTGAATCCTGGTTTCCGTTTTCCACTGCCATCTGAGTACTTGTGTCCACGCTAGGCACAGAGGTGTCATTATTCTGCTCAGAATTTGCAGCCACGTCATCATCTTCATCAGCAAACATGTCAAGTGCATCATCCTCAGTTCCTCCAGTTCCTGACACAACATTATTTCTTGCTCGAGCAAGGGCCTCATATCCTTCTACAGGAAAACAAAAAAACGAAGAATGGTCAAATACTACACTCACGTAGTCACGTGGTCACATAGCTACAGTCTTGCTAATAGTACATAAAATATGAATCACATTGTACAAGCAACATTCATCATTGTAAATGGGTGTGCAGCACATGAATGTGATACCTTCTAAAGAGCCAAATAAAACTTCACACACACACACACACACACACACACACACACGGAGACATATTTTCCCTGTAAATGGGTGAGCAGCACATGGAATGTGATACCTTCTACAGACACACACACACACACGGACCTTTTTTTAAGATACAAACACCTTTTTGGTTTTTTTTAAGGTGACAATGACTTTTTTGTGCAACTTAGATTATTCGTATATCAATTCGAAGGTATTAGATGTAGCTACTTAATGTTTTACATAGAATATAGGAATTTTTTAGATTCTATTCAAAAATACACTGTTGACGCACGCACACACACAAGTGACATAACCCAAGAGGAAAGATAAGCAATGCAAGTGGTTCCCTTTCACACTAAGAGCTCCCAAATTCTCCTTCACCACTAAAAAGAAAACAATGAGAAGGAAAAGCTAGACATATAGATGAATTACATACACTCACTACTAAAATTACAAAGGGAAAAGGAGAGCACAAAAGCAAACAGGAAAACATGAATTAACCATTTACCTTCATACAAGTTATACCATTAGAAAGATGTTCACACAAAGAGGATCTCAAATTTCACCATGAATAAAACAGCAATTTAAATATAGCATTTATACAACAGAAATCACATTAATTTAGTAATATTCAAGGGTTAAGCCAGATATTATATAAATTTTTTAAAAAAAAAATTATACACAATGAATGAATTTATTTCATTCACAGACTGTCAAAACTAATAATACAAACCTGCCTCGCGTACGAAAACCTCTCGCTCTTCATGATAAACATCTGCAATAATAAGATAAAACTACTTATAATTATTGCAAAATGAGAACACAGAACCGTTAATCAAAAGCTAACAATCAAAGATACGTGTAACAAAATACTCAACTGTAGTCCCCATTTTCCATCAGCCGCATGGCATCTTCAGTAAGCTGGTCAAAAACACGCTTCGTTTCTATGGACATCTTTACTCTCTTGTCAGTTGTACCTTTCAGTCTCTTCAGTGCTTGTAAAACCTGCAAGACACAAAGTTATCACATTTATCCACAACAATACATCAAGAAAAGCATCAATCTAAACACAAATTAAATAATATTGATATAAGATAGACAAGACAGGAACGTAAGCAGCAGTGTAATAGACTGATTTTCTGATTTTATAAATTGATTGAATAAGAAGAAAATCAAGAAATAAATAAAAATGAAAGCTTGAGTCTTACTAATGGCAAAAGGGTTACAAAATGATATGTTTATAGCTTTAAGCTATTACTCTCTTTGATAACTTTACGTTATCACTCTCTTAATAACTTTAGGTTACCATTCTCTTTCATTCCACAATACAAATCTCATGCCTTTCTATTGCTATGCTATTTCCCTTTTATTATAAAGCAAAACTACATAAATAACCTAAGTATTAATAATGTTTGTCCTTTACTGCTGAAGAGTAACAGAATTCAGTCCTATGTTGCCACACCCCTTAATGCTCCCTTAATTATTTTGTCTTCTTTTGCTAAAGTGTCTTTTCACTCTTTTGCCTAATTTTGGGTTCATTACAAACAGCAACAGCACTTATTGTGAAATAGAAGAGTCTTAAGCGCGGTCAAGACGCAAAAGCCTTAACCTTGACCGGTCCTGCTTCACATTACTAGTATACTACAAAAACAGAGCTATGACCGAAAAGAACAGGAATGTCAATGATGATAGGACAGACCAGGATAATAAAAGATGGCAAGATGGAGCAAGGAAGAAAAGAGCAAACCACAAACAAAAGCTGACAAAGGGATGAAAACCCACAGGATCAAGGAAACCTGAACTTATTCACCAGTATGATTTCTTTTTGTAAAGGTTGTTTTTTGTGAGTTGTAATGGGCAAAAGTGCAAAACCAGCAAGATAGCTTGCCCCAGATTTATTAATTTCTAATGCATTTTTAACAATCCTTTAATGTGCTTCCTTCAAATCTCCTTGATAGAAAATTAAACTATCTTTATCAGCAACCATAAAAACTTGGACCATCACATCTCACCTTCAAGCTTCAGGACTTTATCAGAGGTCAAACCTATCACATCACTCAGTTTTTGACTCTATCCTTCCTAGCATCTAGTAAAATCATAGGTACATGGAATCATCCTCAGCTCTACAATTATAAACTTATGTAATTTCTACCCAAAGTTCACAGACTGAATCACAAAGAGGGGCTAAGGTGATATCACATCAACAAAATTAAGTAATAACAAACTCATGCACTTAAGTCCCAGAAGTAAGAAAAAGGGAATTTGCCTCAGTCACCTGAATTTCATACACCATGCTTCTTTAAACTCTTTGATAAAGGCAAAAAAAATGCCAAACCACTAAACATTTTACATATTTGAAATGGACAAGAATACAAGATACATCTCTATCCTTCCAAAACACTTCCCAGGAGATAGTGTCTCAAGAAGCTTCAAGACTCAATAGATAATCCAATATGAGGTTCCTTGGCTGTTTAGCTCTTATATAAGGGTATTAACAACTAACATTTTCTGAAGTAAACCCTGTCCTGCAAACAACCTTCTGGACAAGGTAATAGCAGTACACATGAAAGGTAGCACTGAGTCACTGATCTATAAAGAAATTCCAAAATAAGAAAATTCCTCCGATGACATAGATGCATGCACAATGCATAGCAACAATCTTCAATTGGTCACCTAGCAACACCTTATCTCATCTAACCACCATAATTCCATATCCAGACACCCAACAGAACTTGAGAATCACTATATACCACTTAGATGTGTAGCATAAATGTTTCAAGCTTGCCAATACAAAGAAATTAATGCAAGTATGCAAGTTTAGGGCTAATTGAAAGAATGAATCCCTAGACTACTTGTCTCGAAATCCCTCAACAACACAGTATAGGATATTAAGAACTTTGTATGCACTACAAGGCTCCCAAAATCGCATGGCTTTTGGAAAAAACCAATGAGATCAACGTATCCAACAGTGAAATATGACAATTTGCTGACACATGGAGACATAGAGCTTAGAACAAAATCAAAGAGGCTCCAATGAACCTTATGGTTGGAATGGCCAAACCAAGGACTGGCCACTCCGTTGAGTTTTTGAATAATTTACAGAAAAACAGATAAAAGAGAGAAGAGCAAGAATATGATACCGTTTCACCGGGCTCAAGAACATCAGCTATACGGCGCTTTATCTTTCCTATATCATCAGAAGTCATCTCCTGCTCTTCATCATCATTATTAGGAATAGTGGAAATTCTATTGGCGAGCTTTGGGTCTACTTCAAGGCTATCAAGCCATGCATCCTGCAAAACAAATAGGTGATCAGGAAAAGCCATATTACGCAAAGGTCAAGTTACAAAAATTTGAAAAAACTAATACTTAATATAATAGCATACCTTCTCTTCCTTTTCAGGTACATATTCCACAAAGTTCCCCGCTTCATCAAAGTAACCTTCTTCTCTTTCTTTTTCCAAATTAAAAGGCTCAAATTGGATACCGTCATCGACAAAAGATTCATTTTCCTGCCAAAAGCAAATCCCAACATAAGCAAACACCATCTTATTTTCAAAGAAATGTACAACAGTAGAGCAACTGTCATTAAAAAAAGAAAGCCTCCTCACAACAGTAACTTTCACATGATTTGAAACTCTATAGATGACAAGTGGAGAAGTTTTTTCAACAGAGAGGGCTTTGGAACATGGATAAACATTAATGCGGGAATACTAGGAAACACTAACAATTTACACGCAAAATAGGAATAAAGATAACCAGTCAATAAGGCTACAACCACCATTATAAAATTATAAGCCTATATCTCTCTGGTAAGTTTCGTCAAAGTGCCATGGAACAATAATCCACTTCCAGCCTTCCCAACCTTTTTCGCCAACAGCTGAAAGTCCACTGAAGAGCCATATTAGCCTTAGCTGAAACTCAAAAAACCTGGAAGGCTGGAACTCACATCTTTAGTACTACCTCTAGGCTCCAGCCCAAAAGAATAAGCGGCTTTTGACTATAGACATTCAAACTCGCTCAACTCAAATTGCCATAATTAAAAAACATGTCGAGTTTTACTACCATATGCAGATATAGTGATACAAATTATTCGTGAAATTTGACATTGCATAACACAAAAGTCACAATCGATATATAATGGCAAGAAACTCTAGCAGAAATCATTTTCCTTAAATTCATGGGAAATATAAGCTCATTGACAAAAAATAACTTTGTTCCTTCTCAAATTTTACTCAATAAAACCAACCAATATACCTTCACTCCCACCAAATTAATTCCAAAGTAGCCGTTTTTCAGAAATCATCCACAAAATTACTCAGTAACATACAGAATAAGCTAACAACTCAAAGCACCATACTAATTCAAAACTCACCCTAAAGAGCAAAAATGCAACACCAAATCAAAATCAACATATAAATCATATAATTAATTAAAGCATTACATAAATTTAATCAATGCCAAAAATTACAAATTTCGTAAAAGAACAATGAGAAAACCTGATATTGAACTTCAGCAGCAGAAATTTGAGCCACTTCAACCTCACCATCTTCAGTAAAAAGCTGAGTAGTCAAATGAACACGGCGTTTCGCCCGCTCTTTCGCAGCGACACGAGGGTCCGAAAGATCAACCGGTCCAGCTACTTCAGCCTCCGCTGGAGCCACCGGCTCAGGTGCTGCTTCTCCCTTTAGCTTCTTCTTCTTCGGAAATCTAACTCTCTTTTGACTGCACAAATTGACATTCATAATCAATACAGAAAAGAATCAGAAATTGGAAATGATGTTCGATAAATTAGGTTTTGTGTAGTAATTGAAAAAAGGGGGAAAACAACAAATTGATTGAAATAGAAGAGAGATAGAGAGATTTAGGAGAGAGAAAGGATACTTGTTGTTTTTGGAATCGTCATCTTCGTCAATGAAAGGGCGCTTGCGAGAGGATGATGAAGGTCCTTCCATGGCGATTTTTGTGCTGTTTTCGCAGTTGGCAGTCGAACTCTCTGCTTTCTCTCCCTAAAAACTAAAAAGGTTTTTCACTAAGGCGGTATTAATGCTTTAATTAATTGTTTATGAGAAAAGCAAGGAACAAAGTGGTAAATAAATGCTTATTTTTTTTAAAAAAAAATGTGTAATTTTTGCATTATTCTTAGAGCATCATTATTGGTGAACACAAAAAAATGGTTCATGCGTCACTATCACCCTTTCTCTCTCATCCACATCAACCCAACAAACCATTTACAATATTCACTCTTAACAATGAACACTAAACAATGGTTCATCATCAATACTCCCTACCCCACCTTATTTTATTTTTGTAAATATAATCTTTTTTGTTTCATAATTATAATTTATTAACCCGATGTCAATGTAATTAATTGACGTATTTAATATTTTAATCGTGATTACTAATTAAGAAATTATCGCATTTTTTTATCAGTTTTTTAAAAAACTAATTCTTGTGATTAATATTTTTTAAACAACAACGCATCTAATTTTAATTAACAAAAAAAAAAAAGAGGTACAAATCGTGATTACAGTTCTACAACTATAATCTAGTACATTTTATTTAAAAAAAAAAAAACAACTACACATCGTTTTGTAAGATGTCCTTAGGGATAACCATTTGTTGTAAACCTAGTTGCCTAAGTTTTCGTTGTTACCAAATTTATTCCATATATGTTCGACCAAGTCGTTTTTTAGCTGCAAATGAGTCTGTTGATCCTCAATCTCTGTTCTACGAGACAAGTATAAGCCGATATCCACAATACGATCAGTACGGTACTCGGTAGTGTCCTCATTAGCGTTGCCTCCAGCATTCATAAACTCATTGGTATTAACGTTATTCTGATACGTCTCTCGTTCATCTTCAACGATCATATTATGTATTATGATGCAGGCGAGCATGATATTGTGGAGTATGTCGGTATCCCACGCCAAAGACGGCTTTTTAATAATGGCAAAACGAGCTTGAAGGACCCCAAATGCGCGTTCAACGTCTTTCCTTGCAGCTTCCTGGTGTTTTGCGAATAAACGATCCTGACGAGTTTGTGGACTCGTAATGGATTTCACAAAAGAAGCCCATCTAGGGTAGATTCCATCAGTAAGATAATACCCATTCGTATAATGATGACCATTGACTACGAAGTTCACAGGAGGTGTTCGACCCTCTAAGACGTCTTCGAACACAGGGGATCGACGAAGCACATTAATATCGTTGCAGCTACCTGGCATCCCAAAGAACGAATGCCATATCCATAGATCTCTGTCCGCAACTGCCTTCAGTACGAGAGTTGCAACTCCTTCTCTTCCTTGATACTGCCCCTTCCATGCGTGTGGACAGTTCTTCCACTCCCAGTGCATACAATCAATGCTGCCTATCATGCCAGGAAATCCACGTTCTTCCCCAATACGTAGCAATCTTTCCATATCTGTGATGTTTGGACGGCGTAGGTACTGATCACCGAACAGGTTGATGACACCTTCTGTAAACTTTTGGAGTGCCAATCGTGAAGTTGCCTCACTTATACGGACATACTCATCACAAGCGTCTGAAGCACACCCGTAAGCTAGTTGTCTAACGGCCGCAGTGCACTTTTGAAGTGGAGACAAACCAAGACGACCTGCCGCATCTCGCCTTTGTTGAAACCAGGGGTCATGTTGGGTCACTGCGTTGAGAAGGCGCTCAAACACATGTTTACGCATTCGAAACCGGCGCCGGAACAAGGAACTTGGATAAACTGGGACTTCCGCGAAATAGTCATTGTATAACCGTGCATGACCTTCTTCGCGTCTCCTATCCTTTCGGGGCTCAGTAGATTTGCGTCGGCGTTGCTGAGTGACAGCTTGAATAATTGGTGGAATGTACTCATGCATTACGTGTTGTATCATAAGACACACTTCATTACGTTGTTGAACTCTAAGCTCCCTTCCCTCATCATCCGAGTTAGATGAAGATGAAGAGAAATCGGTTGAGCTTTCGTTTAAACTGTTTGAATTCATTTTGTACGTAAGAAATGTAAGATAAAGTGAGGTTTGCTAATAGTAACTGCAAACGATTTATGTGTTTGTATGTAAAAAAAATGAAAGAATGGTGTTTATTTATAGTGAACTAATTTGTAATTCTTCTTCAGAAATAACTGAATATAAAGAGACAAAGATCACATGGGTTATGACAAACAATGAATTACAACCACACAGAAATTGAATGGAGAAGAAGGGTTTCACATGGGCAATGACCAACACTGGATTAGAACCACACAGAAATTGAATGGAGAAGAAGGGTTTCACATGGGCTAACAAAGGGGAAATTAAGATACTGACACAATTATATATAAAGAGACAAATTGATATAATTGAATAAACAGAATAAGATCACATGGGCTATGAAAATGGGAAAGTGGAAAAGATCCATTTTACTGATTAATTGATAAAGTACAAACATAAGGAAATGAGTACAAGAGGTTGAACTGGAATTGAAAACTTATCACTACTGAAAATGAAGAACAACAAAGGAATTGAACACACTTAACTACAATAAAAATAAAGGACACTAAGCATCATTATTGAAACGTTGAATATTGTTCCGAAGTATTACTATCATTTCGTCTTCCCACTGTTCTCGGTTTACTTTCTGTTCTAGACGAGATAGTTGCTCCCAGTTGATCCTATATTGCTCTAGCTCAATTTTCCGTTGTTTTCTTGCCTCCTTGCGCTCCTGTATTTCAAGTCTCTTCATTTCTGCTTCGTTTGACACATTCATCGAATCCCCAAGTAGCTGCAATCGGCTGTTGAATGTTTCTAATTCCTTAAATGCTTGACTTGATGGAGCTTTACCCTTCAATCTCGACTTAGCCTTTTTAATACCTTCAGCACGAGCTACTCTCTCATCACCGACACCCACGCTGGTTGGTGTGGTAGGTGAGGAATTGTCACCCTCATCCCGTGTCCTCTTCCCACTACTTCCGCTCCCTACAGACTCATCCGTCAGTGGAGTTGAATGTGGACGTCCCACCGAAGGCTTGAATGTTTGTTGGTCCAAGAAAGACCGGAATTTGTCCACTTCCTTAATTGGATCCATTCCTCGTAGAAGGTGAATCGTCCGAATGAGTTCTCATGGATTTTGTGGGCCTCTTGGATAACATCATCTTCGTTATAGCCACTTCCCTTTCGCTTCCGGGCCTTATCATAGCTTCCGCACCACTTTAACACGGCTTCAGAGATTCGCATCCACCTTCCCTTCAAACTACTAATAGTTCGTAGGGATATTTCATCTGCATTCGATTCCCTGGCAGCATCGTATGCGTCCAAGACTCTCTTCCAAAATACACCCTTCTTTTGATTTGTGCCGGTAATTATGTCGGTGCTGGTGTTCATGTAGCCGGATATAAGAGCCGCAGTTTCTGATCGCGACCAACCTCTATTGTTTGAACCACTAACACGAAATTCCGGAGTTGATTGGAGTGGTTGCTGTAACATTTGAGTGAAGTTTTGATGGGGAGAAGGAGTTTCATTTCCCTCACCATCATCCTCGCATTCTTCATTTGCCTCATCTTCTTCAGATAAGACATTGCTCGATTCCCAAATATTGGGATTCGGTTGTTGTGACGGAAAATAACCAGATGCAGCACCATATTCACCGTAACCCATTGGTATCATGGATGGAAGTGGGAAATTTGAACTGCTTTGAGAAAAATTAAAATTTTGAGGGAAATTTGGTGGATTATTTGGGAAACTTGACTGGGGTATTTGAGGATAAACTCCAGAAAAATTATGGGGAATATTTGTGGGTGTTTGTGAAAAATTTGGGTGAATTGGAGGAAAATTGGCTTGATTCGGGATCATATTTTGACCCAAATTTTTTTTCTTCTTTCTATTTGTTTTGGGGTTGGTATTAGCATCCATAATTATAATTTATATTTGGAAAAAATAAAAATTTAATAATAATAATAATAATAATAATAATAACAATAATAATAAAAATAATAATAACGATAATAATAATAATAATAACGATAATAATAATAATAATAATAATAATAATAATAACGATAATAATAATAATAATAATAATAATAAATAATAATAATAATAATAATAATAATAATAATAATAATAATAACGATAATAATAAAAATAATAGTAACGATAATAATAATATTAATGATAATAATTAAAAATAATAATAACAATAATAATATTAATATTGGTATAAATAATAATAATATTGGTAATTATAGAGGGGATTTTTGAAGAGAAAAATATAGTAGAAAAAAATGAATTTTCAAAGTTGAAAAAAGTATATCAATATGGGTGTCTATTTATAGAGGGGAAAAAAATAGAGTCGTTGGTATTTTTTTTTTTTTTGATTTGTATTTTGTAAAATATATCCGTTGTAAAATTACAACGGATATATTTAAAACAGTACACACGTGTCAAGCAGCGGCTGGGCCAAGTGGCGCGCTCCCAGCCGCTGATTTCTATTTTTTTTTTCTGACCTTTAACAGCAAAACGACGTCGTTTTGCAACATGAAACAACAAAACGACGTAGTTTTGCATGAATATCAGTCCAAAATATTGGTGGGGCCCACAGCGAATTAATTCATGCAAGTGCTTGCTCCTGCAATCGAACCCATGACCACTCAACATGAACAATTAAAGAGTTTGTCATTAAGCCACCACCTTATTTGTTCACTCATTGTGAACTATTAAAATGTTCACCCTTAAAGATGCTCTTATTTATGAGAAAAGGAAATTGGGAAATGAACTAAAATGAAATTAAGCTGAATAGAACAGGCTGTTATTGTAGGAAATACTCCTAGTGTAGCTAGTTTTTGGCCTTGTTTGGCAAATGGTTGTTGGCGGTTGGCTGTTGGCTGGTTCACTTGGCTTGTTTGACCAGCTGGAATGTTTGGCTGTTTATAATGACTTTTGAAATTGACTGTTTAAGTTGGTTGTTTACAAAAGTGTTTGGTAAATTAATTGGTGGTTGTTGGCTGTTTATTAGATAATTTGTGGGCAAACAAGTCAAAAGCCAACAAAAAAGCTACTCAAAGCAGCTTTTTCATTTTGGCTTAAAAGCCAGTTTTTTCGCTGACTAAAAAGCCAATTACCAAACACATTTTTTGGCTGTTTGACCACCTTAAAAAGCCAAAAGCCAAAAACTAACCAAAAAGCCATTAAAAAGCCAATTACCAAACATGACCTTTGTCTTTGAGATTACAATTTTGCCTGTGGATAAACGAAATTCTTTTAAAAAGAAAAAATAATTGGGTTCCTCTTTTTAAACAAGCACTAGTTATTTTATTTTTATTTTTTTTAATGTAAAAATGTCACTATTGAATTACACACCTCCTTATATTTGAGAACTAGGTTAGGTCCCGTGCAATAATGCACGGATGTTAAAGTTCCAATATATATCATATTATTATAAAATAAACTCTTGCTATATAGTTTTTGTACAATTAAGGCAATTTACGTTTTAGCCAATTTATATTTACCTTATTAAAAATTTACATTAAATAAATTTTAACCAAAAAAAATAAAAAAATCAAATCTAAAAGATACATCAGGAGATGACACGTGCCATTGCTGGTGTGTCTTTTAGTATATATTATTGATTATTGATTGATTAATTATTGATAAAGGGTCATCATTCTCATGATTTACCTCCCTAGAAACTTTTAACTATGATGCACTAGTACTAAGAACTTTTCAATAAATTTGTCACTACCAAGTAGTACTTGGTCTAGTGGTAATTGTATTTCATAACCATGAGGTTGTGGGATCAATTCTCATTATGGGCAAGTGGGCAACCATCTTGAGTTGAGTCTCCCATAACCTTGAGGTTCTAATGTGTAAAACCTTACCACTAGATCAAGACTTGTTTGGTTTTTGTAAGATCCATTTATTGAAATACCAAACAACATGAAGATAGGTGGAAACTTTTTGGGAGTATACTTGAACATGCCATTTCATTTAAAACATTTGTTTGTACAAGTGGAAGAGAGCTACATACTTACATTCAAAAGGAAAAGGTGAAAAACTGAAAATCAGATGAACAGCCAAATGGTGTTTATTTTAGAAATTACAGTACGTCAGTATTCAGTAACCTATCAACAAAAAGAAAAGGATGACAACTCTAGGAAGAACTGCGAGTGGATCGTTGAATCGGACTCTTCCCTCCAAGAGTCTGAATTATAGCTTCCAAAAGTTTAATATCATTGTCCCTCTTGGTGATCTCCTCCTGTTTCGCACGCAGCTCTTGCATATGCAGTTCAAATACCTCTGCATTTAAAAGATAAGCTTGTCAGAATAAAATCTAAAAAACCACGAGCATAGCTACACAAATGTATTACATGATAAAGTATAAAGAGGACATCAATGATCTAACATCAACTTTTGTTAGCTTTCAGCAAAAGTTTAACTGGGGAACCACCCATGAAAATGTGAAGAAATTAACAGAATAGAACCACATTAGAAACTGATATAAACACAAAACATTGAATAATTAGCTCATATCAACCAGTTACGGACAAAGATCTACAAACAGATCAGATCCACAGGCCCTACTAAGTGTGGACATGGATGAAAAAACTAAGAAGGGTAGGAAATACAACTTATTTTAAGTGGCCAAATAGCCAAGAATTACAGTGGCACTATCCCATCACATTTGCTTCAGAGATGCAAGGCAAAGTAGCCCACTGTATCAGGAGCAACTTTTGTCAAATAATAGCTTATAATTTGGTTCTTGAAAAAAACCACATTTTACATTTCTAACATACTACATTAAGTACAGTCAGAAGACAACAGTGCACTTGGGAAGGAGCATTGAGGAGAATGAATATAAAGCAGCTAGGAAGACTAAGAGACATAAAATGGAGGAGTGTGTATCATAATAGGAGAGTGATAGATGTCTATAAGAAAAGAGATCCAACAGCGCTACCCCTATGGAATGTAGCCAGATGAGAAGAAATCTGTCCAACACTCCAACAACTCGAGTAAGTCTTGAAGCTTGTTTAGGCAGGGAGTGTTAAACAAAATAGCCCTTCCTGTACCCTCTCTTGCTTGTTTGACACACACAGTTAAAATATGCCTTATTAAATATAAGACTATTGACATGCAATAGCAAATTATCACAACTTACCCAGGCAATTTCAGTAAGTTATTTAGGTTTTAACAGAAAACAATGAATATGATGGGTACCAATGGACAATAAAGTGATGTAAAGGAGCTAGTTTCCGGAAAAAAGAGAAAAAAAAAAATACAAACAGTTTTGAAAAGCCTTATATTAATAAGTGGTTTATGATAGAAAGATTCTAAGAATCTCTTTTGAGCCCTCGGTTGTGATTAAATTATGGACATTCATATATTTCACTTAACCATAACTTTAAGCATAAACACATAAAATTGAAGCCAAATTCATACTTGATGTGTTCTCAAGCTCTTTTGTGATTTCCTGTGTGCGTAATTCAGCTGCCTTTTGAGAAGCCTCGGCTTGTCTTTTCTCTGAACGAGCATGTGCTGCAGCTGTAATAGAAGCATCAAGTTCTCGCTCTAAAGTCTCCACTCTTTGCTCAAGCACCTGGACAGAGCAGCAACCCAAACTGTCAACAATGTATAGCTCCTCTTTGAAAATAATAATAAGCCATTAAAACTCAATCAACAAATGTGCAATACTGAGTAATGTATTTCAGAACTACAGCACAATGCAATCACATTCTCAGCTGCCTCAGCTTGTCTACATGCCTACATCTTTATGTAAGAGATTTTATAATACTCGGAATAAACTACCCTCTAGTCTCAAACTCTCAATAGATTCTTGCCATTGCCACAAAGCTCAACCTCCATCAAGTGAACTTGCTACCAAATTTTAGCAGCTTATTCCCAAGCTAAGAACAATAGATGAAGTACTACCTCCGTTAACTTTTATTTGCAACTTTGGAATATTAACTTGGTAGTATTATATATGCAACCCGTCAAGAAAAGAGAAACTTGCTTGTAAAGTGTCACGTTTCCAAACACTAGATGTCTTGATCCAACATTAAACTGTTCTACCAAGTTCAAGCAGCACAAACAATTATCAATAAATAATTCATAATTAGCCAAAAAAAACACCAACCCAACTCATCAAATTGGTCAGATTAGCCAAAAAAAATACAAACCAAGTTCATCAAATTAGCCTAATTACCTACATTTCTATCTCTTAAATATCCCAAAAATCCTCAACATTCCTATTGATCTATACGACTAAACCTGGGCACGGGCCGGGTTGGCCCGCGTGCCGCCCGGCACGGCCCGAATTCAAGCACGGCACGGCACGAAGATCAACTCCCGTGCCACGGGCCGTGCCACGGACAGGGTTGAGAATTCCCCGGCACGAGCACGGCCATGGCCCGCCGTGCTGGCCCGTCGTGCTGGCCCGCAGGCACGACCCGGAACGGCCCGCGGGCCAACGGTAATATTACCGTTTATTCTAGCTCCTTAATAAGCCAAAAAAACGGCTAGTTTTTTGCCAATTTGCTCCCCAAAAATTCTATAAATACTCACCTCCATTTCATTCCCAAATCACAAAATCACAATCTCTTCTTCTTATCTCTTATAGTCTCTAAATCTCTAATAATCCTTATTTTCTTAAATTCTCTAATTATTCTCTTAAATTCTCTAATTATTTTCCTAATATCGGAAAAAATTAAAAAGTTCGTAATCGTAATTAGTGGAGCGTTGAAGCACGGTTGTAAGATCTAAACTAATCTTAAATTTATTATTGTTTTATTGTTATTATTAGAATAATCTTGTTTAATTATTATTGTTGTTAATTGTTATTGTTGTTGTTATAATTGTTGTTATTAATTATTATTATTGTTACAATTGTTGTTATTATTTATTTTTGTTGTTATTGTTATTGTTATAGTTGTTGTTATTAATTATTATTATTGATATTTTTATTGTTAAAATTGTTGTTATTAATTATTATTATTATAGTTAACCACTTTTTATTAAAAAATTAATTGTTAATTATGGCATCGAACAACCCATCATCTAGGTCTAGGGGGAAAGGCCGACTTATCCGTAGTAGTAGTTCTAGGGAACCACCAAATACAACGAGCCCCCAAATTACGAGTCAAACCAATGACCCCATTTACTTCCCCCCGGGCTATGAGCCATATAATACGTCGGGATTTCCAGCACCACCACTAAACCAATTTCCACTACCACCATACCAATTTCCACCTAATTATATCGGTGATCAACAAAACTATTGTTCTAGCCAAGGTAGCCAAGAAAGTACCCGAATTCCCTCCGGTTCTACCCCTTCTACTGCCACTCCCACTAGTCCCACTACTAACCATCACACACATCATGAATGGTTAACCGAAACTGAGATGCTACTTTTGAAAAACCGAAGGAGTGAGGTATGGCGTTATTTTGTCCTAAGTAAAGATGGTGAACAATGGGCAAAATGTAAAACATGTAATAGTGTATTCACGGCAGTTACCAAAAACGGGACGGGACACTTATCTAGACACATGAAAGCTTGTGCAAAACCAGCTAGTGATCCAACCCAGCCCAAAATTTCCCAATTTCATCCATACGGCTTTACATACAACTATGAGAGGGATAGGGATGAACTAGGAAAAATGATAGTACACGCCGAACAACCTTTTCTTTTCTCGGAAAGTGACGCATTCAACACCTACATTAACAAAGCACTACAACCCCAACATAAAAGAATCTCTAGGAAAACCGTTCGTTCCGCCGCAATGAAAAATTTCCTAGAGTACAAAGTCCGGTTACAAGCCGAATTGAGTAACCTTAACTGTAGAGTATCTTTAACAGCCGATTCTTGGGATAGTGGTTATAAATATCACTATTTATGTGTGACTTGCCATTGGGTAGATGATCAATGGATGTTACAAAAAAGAATAATACATTTCAAAATGCTGGAATACCCACACACCGGCATTAACATTGCTCACCATTTAATGCAAGCAATAGACGAATACAACCTTCGAGATAAAATGATGTTTATGACTTTTGATAATGCAACCTCTATGACATACACAGCTAATCTTATCAAACAAAACTTAACCGATGTACTATTAGACGGTGAAGCTCTTCATACTAGATGTGTTTGCCATGTACTTAACTTATGTGTACAGGATGGAGTTCGGGCAATTGGCCATACTACAGCAAAATCAGAGATGCTATTATGTCTATTAATAGCTCTAACATGAGATACCAAGAATGGAAGAGTTTTCTAAAACAACAAAAGATAAGGGTAATAAAAATTAGAACCGATTGCCCAACTAGGTGGAATTCCACCTATGACATGTTAACAAAGGCAATTGAGTACAAGGGCCCGTTAACATTATTTTACAACCAAAAATTTCCACAAAATGCTTTGTATGATGATGATTGGAATAACTGTGAAAGATATATGCAATTTTTACAGTTATTATATAACATGACGTATTGTTTTTCTACTGTTTACAATCCTTGTGCTCAAAACTTTCTTTCTAATGCATGCTTACTCGCCCAACTTTTCGCTGATCATCGCCATCAAAGTGATTATGATCAGTATCTTCCAGCAATGGAAAAAAAGTGGCGTAAATATTATAGTGAGATTCCTTTGATTTATATTTTTGCTTCCATATTAGATCCTAGGCAAAAGTATGAAAACACATTTATGTTAGTTGACATTTACTTTCAATGCATGTTTCTTGACGATGATGTAGAAAACTATAAGACTAATGTGAAGGATCAGTTTTTTGCTTTATATAGAGTCTATGAAGCCAAATATGGCACCGTTCCTCGCTCAGGGCCTTCCCAACCATCCAAAAACGTAAGTAAGAAGGCCAAACATTTATTTTCACAAGCTACTAACTTGATTTCAAGGTTTTCAGGTGATTCATCAATCAGGAGAACGCAAAGCGACGTCTCGGAGTTGCAGATGTACCTGAGTTACGACTTCACCAAAGGCATGGACGACGATGAGATAAACAGCCTCGACCTCCTTGCATGGTGGAAACAACAAAGCTCGAAGCATCCAACTTTGGCGGCAATGGCACGAGACATTCTTGCTATCCAAGTTTCCTCCGTCGCCTCCGAACGAGCTTTCAGCGCATCCGGAAGGGTTTTAGACGATAGAAGAACAAGTCTAAAACCCGAAACACTAGAAATGTGCGTGTGTTTCAAAGATTGGTTGGATGCGGAAAATCGCTCACAAGACCGTTCTTACGACCACAACGACAACGAAGAAGGAACCTCCGCTTCCGGTTCGGGTTCGGCTAGTTCCCAATCTATGCAACTAGCCGATGACCTTGAAGGCGAAGGCGAAGACGAAGACGAAGACGAAGACGAGCAAGAAGAAGGAGAAGAAGAATAGACAATTATTGTATATTGTACGATTTTAAAAATATCAATTTTATCATTTTCCAATTTTTGTTTAATACCATCATTGTATGATTTTTATCATTGTTATCATTGTACAATTTTCTCAACTCAAGTAATAATAATATAAAGTACGCATTATTCACATCCAAAGTCCAATTTGCCTTTTTTCCCCGTTTTGTTACAATTTGTAAATTCATATTAAAATAAAATAAAATTATACCAATTACTAATAAATCATAAACATTAAATTTTAAAGTAATAGTATAAAGTAAATATATAAATATAAATATTGAATATACAAATTATAAAACATAAATATTCAACTTATAATTATAAAATTCATAACTTAATAACTTATAACCTTATAAAAGTTATAATTATAATTTTATAACTTATATACATTATAAACTTATTAATTTATAATGTTGTCATAAAAAAAAAAAAATAAATAAATAAATAAATAAATTGAAAACTGCACCAGCCCGCTGCCAGCCCGCAGGCCGGCACGTGGCCGGCACGGCACGAGCCCGCCTGGCACGTGCCCGGCACGGCACGAGCCCGCCTGGCACGTGCCGAGCCCGGCCGTGGGCCGGCCTGTGAAAATGCCCGGCACGGCACGACACGAAATCCTGGGCCCGCCGGCACGACCGGCACGGCACGAACCAGCCCGTGGCCCGCCAGGCACGGCCCGCGGCGGCCCGGCCCGGCGCCCAGGTTATTATTTATTACAACCAAAAATTACTCCAACCCCAGTTCATCAAATTGGAATAAAAAACGATTCACAAAAACCCTAATTCCAAATTCTTCTCCAGAATTCATCAAATTCCAGTTCAAACCCACCAAAATTAAAGGCATAATAATACAAAATACACATATAAATGGCAATACAAAATCATAATTCAATCCCAGAAATTAATAAAGAAAACTTAAAACAATGTAGGAGAGAGAAAAAGACCTTGATGGTGCGAGACTGTTGGGAAGCAAGCGAAGCTTTATTGAAGGTATCTTCATCAACAAATACTGCTTTTTTCAGAAGAAGCTTCTGAAGAGACTCGAGATTTCCAGAAGTTTCCTTGAGATTTGCGATCGCAGAGTCCCATCTCTCGTTTGCTCTCCCTTTTTCTCTCTCCTCCATTTCTCTTCTGCTCTTCCCTCTGCTTTCTTTGTCTTTCTTTTGAAGAAGAAAACTCAGATGATATGCTACCTAACAGTCTAGTCAATCTCCCCTTTGACTTTTTTTTTTCCTTTTAAACCACTAATTATGAGTAAACCCAAACAAAATACAAGTATAGTAAGGGTCTGTTCTCATTGACTGAACTCACATGAGCTGAACTGAATATTTTATAAGAGAAGGAAATTAGGACATGAACTTAACTGAATTGAACTGAGTTGAATTGAATTGAACTGAACTAAACTAAATTGAAAATAAACGTATGGGAACATTCCCTAACATTATATCGGTTTTATATGTGAACAGTATTGGGAAAATCACACTTATTTTCTCCCTCTGTACTTTCAGATTCTCTTTCAATATGTGAACAGTATTGAGTTAAGAGATTAAGGCCCTGCTCTCATCATATTATTTTCACTTCAGTTCAGTTCAACTCTAATAAATTCAGTCGAGCTCAGCTTCTAATTTCCTTTTCTCATAAAGTATTCAGTTTAGTTCACCTAATGAGAACAGGCCCTAAATTACAATTTTTTCACTTGATCTAAATTTGAAGTTTATTGCTAATTACTGCTCAAAATTGTTTACCAAAGTTAAAGTACGTAGCATATTTAATCATCAATGCTAATAGCACATGTTTTATTGATTGTTGGTGATGTTTAAGTTTTGAGAGTTAGCACAATGTCTATCTAGCACAAACAATGAAGCAAACTCATATTTGCAATATATGTAACGGGTATCAACCTAAGAAAATAACATTCTTTCATTAATCCCTAATGGGTTTTTTTAAAAAAAAAAAAAAAATTCATTAATTGACATTGAAGATAATAATTGTAATTGTTGTATGCACACTTGGATGTACGCAATATGCTTGTTGAGTTTATGATATTAATACTCGTATTCTAGTTGTTCAATGATAAACACACGTATTGTTAAGTGCGTTCCTCAATTCATATATTATATTCTCCAATATTAGAACAACAATTATGTCGAAAAGGAATATATCTCTCTTTGAAAAGGAAGGTGAACAATGATTACAATCTCAACCAACAATGAGAGTAAACCAAAAGAACATATAGTTCGCTAACAAAATAAAAACATCATGCATATATTCATGCTAGATTATGCTCATGAAAATTTAAAGGTAAGTTTTACAACGAATGAAAAGAAAGACTACGATCAACCATTTAAAAAGAGAGTTATAAGTAACCAATCAAAGATATCATGGGAGATGAAATGCTTATAGTGAAAGATGAGGGTATTCATTGGGTATTTGGGTACACACATGTGAGGGGAGTTACACAAACATCCCATGGCAATCCAAAATTGCTACTAGTAAAACTTTTGTTCACACGTCACATTCTAACAAAAAAGATGTAAAAGTCAATAAATTTTACGTAGTAATTGATTAAAGTTTTAAAGGTGATGTCTAAGATATGAGATTGAATCCTGTTTATTTTACCTACCTTTTTTATGACTCTTTCTAATAACTAAATGAATACATGAAATTATTATCGATGGTAATATTTAATCATTATTAATTTGCATTACTTTCACTTATTCCAACTTTAATAAGTTAAGATAAATTTAATTTTAGAAAATTAAGTTATGCTAAAGGTTAACCAGGTTATAATAAGATAAGTGAATTTCCTAAAAAAAAAAAATAATAAGATAAGTGAAAATGAATAAAACAAACACATTGTTCATATAAAATAAATGATGCTAATGAAAATTTAAAGGGGTTTTGACTTTTAAAACACACACAAAAAAAAAAAAAAAAACTCAATTTGTTTTTTTAACACTAATTAAAAAAATAAAGAACTTATTATACCACCACCAAAAAATAATATGAGTACTATATAGTCTATAAATAAATGAATTCCGTCTAGGAATTCGTTAAATTAGTGTGTTAGTCCCGAACTCTTTTTTTTTTTTTTTTTTTTTTTTTTTTACAATAAAAATAAAAAGATAAATAAATCCATAAGGGCCATAACCTAATTTCTGCAAACATAAGAGTACTGTTTAAACTAGTTCTCTCAGACTCTCAGTTACTCTCCTAGTCTCCTTCTTCAGTCTACCACCCTTTTTATAAGAAAGAGGGAAAAGCATTTCACTTACAAAACTTGGTTGCTTCAATTTCAAGCACAAGGTATATCTTTCAATCTTTCTTTAACTTAATTTCAATTCAAAATTTGATCTTGTTTATCTTTTATTTGATTGAATTCGTTTAATTTTCATAGTTGAAGATTAATTCAAACAGACAACCATGGCCGCCAACTTAGGTGTTAACGTTGAGTCGCTTCAAAGTTCAATTGTTTATAGTTCAACCAGAAAATTTTCTGGGGTTTCCAATACTAAAAACCCAAACTTTTGTTACAAAACAAAACCCACCTCATTTTTAACCCCCAATAAGTTGTCTTCATCATCTTTGGTTCTCAAAGGGGTGGAATCGAAGAGGGTTATTGAGAAAAATTGCCGGGACTTTTCGGTTTCGAGTGGCGGAAATGAGGCTGGTGGGTTAACTTACAAGGATGCTGGGGTTGATATTGATGCTGGGTCTGAGCTTGTTAAGAGAATTGCTAAAATGGCTCCTGGGATTGGTGGCTTTGGAGGATTATATCCTCTAGGTATATATATCTTATCCTTGTTCTTTTTGACTTTCGAGTGTTTGTAATCTTGCTAATTGCTTGGAATTAGTAGTACCTTTTTATTGCTCACTTAGTTAGGAATTAATCGTCACATTGATAGTGTAATTTGGATTAGTAGTGTGACAATTAGATATGGGTCAAGGTGGTTTATTTTAAGATAGTTGCAAAGCTATGTGAGATGGTTGGCTGATTGTATTTTTGTTGAAGCTTTGCACTAGGAAAATCTTTAATTGAATGAGATTTCATTGTTGTAATTGGTGGAAATGCCAAATTGATAGTTAGTTGTTAACTTTAGGGTATTACTTTTTCATTTTGATGCATTTAGCTTCCTTGAGGAAGTTGTATGTTTGGTGTCTTGCATTTAAATTAGGTCGTGTGAAGAATTGGGAGAAAATTTATGTCTTCAATTTGATATTTTTTTTCCTGTTCATGTTGCATGCAGAGCTAAGCTGATAAATGTTTCATTCCCAGGCAATAGTTTTATATATGATGATCACTCCACTAGCTTCGTCGTGGCTGGGTTGGGGGGGGGGGGGGGGAGGTGGCTAGTGTTGGATTTGTGATTGAGGGGTTGCACAGGTTCAAAATTTGAGTATTTGTTGATCACTCCTTAATTAAGAAGCACGAAATTATTTGGCATGTATATATTTTTTCAATATCCAATCTTGTTTCTTATAGCAATTTGCTTAGATAACTGAAGTTCTGGAAAGTAAACCCAGCCACATTTGACTTCAGTACTTCATTGGTTAACAACCAGTTGTCGCGTTTTATCTGCTACAGATTATTTGAACATCCAAGGCTTTTGTATGTAGTACGGAGTACATACTTAGCTACTTCAGCTGTGTGGTTCTTGTAATGTCTGAGTTTAAAGACAATCATCGTGCATTTATTCTGTGTGAATAATTGAAAGTCAGATGTTGGAGTGGTTTGGCCTTGTCTATAATTGATTGGCTCTTATGAAGGGAGAGTAGAAGACCATACCGTGCTCCCAAAAACCAAAAAAAATAAAAAATTGTATCAGGAATTTTAATTTAGTTGTTGTTAAGGTTTGAACTGTTTACTCTTGTAATCTTATACACGGCTACTTTTGTTACACAGTTTTGTCTTGAAGAGTAAAAAGCAGTTTGACATGTGTTTTGGCTAGTTCAGTAATTGTTTGATTGGAGTATATGTTTTTTGGCTATTAACTTGATCTTGCCCTGCCCCTTCTCTAACAGAAGATCTGTTGCTACGGTGTTAAGGAACCCAGATGAATAGTTTAGATGTGAATTTAATGGAAAATATAACTGTCTAACTGGATTCCCGAAATTCTCTATTCTTTGAATCTTGGATTGTAATACTGAATTGATATGCCCAGTCTTCTTGTTTAACATGACTAGTAGAGGGTCATTGCATATGAACTTAGAGTTAATTTGTAACAACCTCTTTGCTTTTGTAGCAATGAGGTTGCACACATCCCCCCTCTACTGCCTAAGCTGGGAATCTTTATAAAGGATTGTGTGTAATAATGTTGTGTATCAGGATAGAAAAATGTGTTGAAAAAAGACTTTTATATAAAAATAAATAAAAATAAATCTACAATGTGTATTTTCTTCTTGTGTAACTGGTTTTTAGCTGTGTTAAATCTCTTTAACACTTTGATACTTGTGCAGGGGATTCTTATCTTGTTGCTGGTACAGATGGTGTTGGCACCAAATTAAAGCTTGCATTTGAAACTGGAATACACGAAACTATAGGAATTGATTTGGTAACAATTAATTTTGATCTTTGGTCATGCATTTTGATGTCTGCAATTGGTTTCTTACTCACTATATCTTCAGGTTGCCATGAGTGTTAATGACATTGTTACTTCTGGAGCAAAACCCTTGTTTTTCCTAGATTATTTCGCCACAAGTCGTCTTGATGTTGACCTTGCTGAGAGGGTACTTTACTGTCGAGCTTTTTATTTTTTCTTTCTCTTTTTGTATTCGTATTATCTTATCTGTAGAAAGAATAGTTCCAAATCTTAGTTCCTGAAAATTACTTGAACACAACATAAATAAAGTCTTATTTCAGGTTATCAAAGGAATCGTTGATGGTTGCCAGCAATCTGATTGTGCTCTTTTGGGTGGAGAGGTAATTCAAAGGCTCTGCATGTATTAACTATAGCCATGTTTCTTTCCTCCCCCCCCCCCCCCGAAGTACTTTTTATTTAAAGATTGTTAATGTGCTTAATTGACATGCTTTGATGTATGTAAATTTCTTTTGAAATGGGGTGGTTGAGTACTCGAGTGTGAGTTAATTTTCAAAAAAAGTTGTTTTAAAATAGTAAAAGCTTGAGCTGTGCAGGATTGGGTTAGTCATTATAGTAGATCTTAGTGCTGAAGCCAGTTTCATATTTGGTGTCAGAATTTAGGATTCCGCTACAAATATTTTCAATTCTTGTAATCTTCTTTTATGATTCATGGATGAACCTGAGTTTTTCCATTTTTGTTTATTAGATTGGAGATTTGGAGTAGCACAATTAACATTTGGTTGACATAGCAAATTTTGTGTTTAAGACTGCAGAGATGCCTGGCTTTTATGCAGATGGTGAGTACGATCTTAGTGGATTTGCTGTGGGCATTGTGAAGAAAGAATCAGTTATTAATGGGAAAAATATTGAGGCTGGAGATGTACTCATCGGTCTTCCATCCAGTGGAGTTCATTCCAATGGCTTTTCTCTCGTTAGAAGGTCAGCACTTGTTTTTGTGGCTCTAGTTTTGTGTGATTGACTCAACAGTGGGCCAGACTTGAGATACAATTGCGTTTAAGATGTAAACAATTGATTAGCATGTTGACGTATATGTGCGTGTTATAGGGTATTGGCACAAAGTGGCTGCTCTTTGACAGACAAAATTCCTGGTGAAGCTACTACTCTGGGTGAAGCCTTGATGGCCCCAACTGTCATATATGTTAAGCAGGTGATATATTCTCCTCCTGTTAAACATGTTACTACATTATTAGAGGGGCACAAAGCAGGTGATGGCCCCAACTGACCAACTGTCACTTATGGTTATTCATATGTTTTTTTGGTGTGAAGGTGCTTGATGTGATCGCCAAGGGAGGAGTAAAAGGGATAGCACACATAACTGGTGGTGGGTTCACCGATAACATACCTAGAGTTTTTCCCAAGGGTCTAGGTGCTGTCATTGATAAAGATTCTTGGCCTGTTCTTCCCGTGTTTAAATGGCTCCAAGAGGTAAAAAGAAACCGTCTTTAATGGATTTGATTGTTCACAATGATTTCATAGGTTATTTCATTGAACTTGGTTGACAAGCTCTGATTATAGTACTACGCAGAAAATTAAGTATATTGCATTCTCTAATTTTACATACTCGTGCTGGTAGGTGGGGAGAATAGATGACAGTGAGATGATGCGGACTTTCAATATGGGTATTGGAATGGTGCTTGTGGTAAGTCCCGATGCAGCCCTCAAAATTCTTGGCGATGCAAATGGAGCTACTCCAATGTATCGCATTGGTGAGGTAAAGACAGGCGAAGGGGTTAGCTATCGATGAGATGCTTCTCAAACTAGATCGTTACTTATGCGAAATGACCCTAAAGACTTGTGTCTTGCTACCCCCTTCCCCTCCCTTATATTCTCAACAAGCCTCATCCCTTGAGCCCTCTCCATCTTTCCATATAACTTCTGTCAGCACATAATCTGCCAGAATATGGTCTGATGCAGAGTAGGATAATTTATGTGCAATGATTAATGTAATGATTGCACATTAATAGCCATTTTAACTTGTCGGGCAGCTACAATTTTGATTGATGTAATGATTAATAGTTTCATTAAAATTAAAAAAAGAAAAAAATTGTTACACCTCATTTTCTAATTGTTTTTGATGAAGTTTGCTCTATTAGACTATTATTACTTTTCATTTCTTTTCAATCTATGTTTATTTTTTAAAAATGATTTTTTCATCTTATTATAGGTAGTCAATTATAATAAGTATATACTATATTATTGTAACTAGCGTATTGTGTGTCTATTTTGTGCTTGTATCCTTTCTAATACCCACTTTTTAAGTTTTTAGTACTTGTAACATGTTGAGTGATCTAGGTGAACCGTGAACCCCTCTTTTTTAAGAAGTGACATGTGGCGTGTGTTATTACTTTTAATATTATGAACGTATATAGTAACAAGTTAGAGTAAGTCCGTTGTATCCAAAAATAGTAACAAGTTATTGTAAGTCCGTTGTATCTAAAAATCTGCCGAAAATAGAGGGATCTGTTATTTCGAAGACCCTTTTCGGTTTTAAACTGCTCAATCACATTACAGTGATTACGCTGATGCAGATTATAATTGGAAACCATAACTTGACAAGCAGCTTCAAATCAATAAGTGGCTTTCCTTTTCTACCCAAAAAAAAAAAAAAAAAAAAAAAAAAAGCTTCAAATCATAATGACAAAGAAAAGCATGAATCATAGACAGCTCAATCATAGGAAAGCACATGCAAATTATGCAAACTATATTACGGATAAGCTTTCAACTGTAATACTATGAAGATCTTGCACCGTTACAAAGTATAAATGCAACTGAAAATTATCTGTAAGACATGTCATTACTCACTACTGTAGTTCTGTCAACAGAATTGTAAATAAGGAGAGAGAAATTAGACAGCCTGCTTTACTTTACTACTCCTAGTTTAGATTAGAATAAATGAGGTTTTAGTAGTGATGTGCAAGATAAGTGTACTCTTTTATATGGCGGCTGTTTTCAATCTAACATGTTGTCACTTATCTTTAAAGACTCTGCTGTCCAAAGTTCGCCTACTCTATATTTTTACAGTGCTCGATGTTAGTGGTCAAGCATACTATTTTAGAATGTTCGGAAAAAAAAATTGTTATTCTTTACTCCTTTCGTTTTTAAATACTTGTTCCATTTCTCTTGGACACGCATGTCGATGCTAATCTTTGATCACTAATATCTTTAATTATCAATAAGTATAAATTCTAACAATTGAAAATTAATAATCTATTTATTGATATGATTCCAACAAATACCCACAAGAGTATATTTTTTCTTAAGTATAAATAACAAACATTAGTTAAAGTAGAACAAATAAATAGTATAAAAAATAGAAATAAAGCAAGTATTTAAAAACGGAGGGAGTATAAGATATGAAGTGGATATGATTTTTTTTTTTTTTTCAAATTGGTGGATGTATTGAAATTTGTAACAAATCCTAACAATTAGTTTTGAGAGAATGAATGAAATCTCATACTTGTATTTGTTAACTTGTACCATGTGGATGATGTGATTGTTATATGTATGTATAACAGCTATACTGCGATTGTGTGCAAGTTACAATATGATGAAGTCTTAATGTCATTTTAATGGAAGGTTATTCAATATTTCTAACTACATTAAGACAAGCTAGTGACATAGAAAGACAAACTACATTTTCAAAATTTGACAACCACATCTCAAAATATCTCATTGAAGTGATTGATTTCACAAATCTGTCCACTAGATTCGACCGCTGATCTCATGTCTGTAAGTCAGAGAACTAGCCAATTACTCTAGCCTTCTATTTCATACTCTTTTTATACTTGTGCACCATATATCCTTAAACTTTGCAATAGAAGTATTTTTCGGTCTTCCAATATTACTACTTTTTTTTTTTTTTACCTTTTCAAATAAAAAATAAAATAAAATTAAAATAAAACTTCGCTAATATTTATTTTATAATATTGTACACAAAACATACAATTGTATAAACATTTACCTTGAATTAGTCTAGTCGTCTTAAATTTTGAATACACCGTAAGTAACTCAAACAATATTTAACGACTGAATACGGTGGCTGGCTAATTATTAGGTTGCCATTTTTTTCATTTCCCAACATCACAAAAAAAATTCTCAAGCAAATCTCTCTCTACAAAAAAAATCCCTAACATCATAGCCTCTTAAAACCTTAAATTTTCAAAGAAATCGTCACATTTGCTAACATCGAATTATTGAAACAAGGTAATTTTCTACATTTGTGAATTTACCATCTTCGGTGAAATGAAGACTTTATTCAAATCTCGAAGGTTCTCCAAAATTAATTAAAATTCAAATTATTGTTCGGTTCAAATTTAATCTGAAATACTATATTTCGCCTCTTAATACTTACAAGGCACATATGTTTCAAATAATAATAAAAAAAAATATTGAACATTTTCAAGTTTATTGTGAGTTAAAAATAAGATTGGGATTACAATCAAATTATTAAAATGTTGTAATTAACTCGCTCTTAACTGTCTTAAGCTCTTTCTACTTATTCCATTTTAGGTAACATTGTCTTTTCCTTCCATGTTATCCCTTCTCCTTACATTTCGAAGAAAAAGGTTTTATCACTATAATATTATTTTCCTTATTATTCTCATTTCTATAACAAACATAGGATATTTCCTATCATTTCCTTTTTATTTCTTGCCCGTTATTCCTACCAGCTTATCTCATATAACAAACACCCCGAAATCACGAGACACACATATGTCCTACGATTTCTTCATTGTATCCATACCTACCTTTGTGTCGATACTTTGAAGTTTGGAGGGAAGCTGATATTTATATTTTTTCTTATCCAGATTTGATTGGTTATATGTAGGCCAAAACAAAGGTATACAATAATTTCATGACCAAAGGCTCCTACTAGACCATGTGCTGCCTTACCTGTTTCTGGAGCTAAGTCCTGAGATCAGCACAACTTTCCATAATCTTAATTCATTTACATCCAAACTAAACCCTTAAAAAAAAAATACCCAAAAAAAATTAAAAAATAAAAAGAAAATCATACACATTTTCCTGCTCCTTACAATTTGAGCTTTTCCAGTTCTTTGACAGCCCATATTCATTCATCTGCTTTTTCCTCACTCAAAAAGCCTGCTATACATTTGCACAAACCTTTCTTTTTTCTTGAATTTTTCTGGGTTTTTTTGGAGGAAAATACAATTAAGAAAGTTGCCAACTTTGGGTAGAAGAAGATGAAGAAGAAAAACAATGTTGGGTCTTTATTTTTACCCATTTTATCACTTGGGTTGTGTTCAATTTTCTTTAATATTGCAGTTTTTTCTGAAGCAAGTTCAGATGATGCTTCAGTAATGTTAGCTTTGAGGAAGAACTTGAATAACCCGCCCGAATCACTTGGATGGTCCGACCCAGATCCCTGTAAATGGACCCATGTGGGTTGTAGCCAGGAAAAAAAGGTGACCCGGATTCAAATTGGGCACCAGAACTTGGAAGGTACTCTCCCTGCTAGTCTTTCTTCTTTAACTTCTCTTGAAAGGTTAGAAGTTCAATGGAATAAATTTCAGGCCCTTTTCCTAGTTTAAGTGGATTAAGTTCATTGCAAGTTTTAATGATTAGTAATAATAATTTTAGTTCAATTCCTAGGGATTTGTTTACTGGGTTGTCTGTACTTCAGTCTGTTGATCTTGATAATAACCCTTTTGAGGGTTGGGAAATTCCTGAATCCTTGAAAGATGCTTCAACACTTCAGAATTTTTCTGCTAATTCTGCTAATGTTACTGGTGTAATTCCTGATTTTTTCGGGCCGGATTCGTTTCCGGGTTTGGTGAATTTGCATTTGAGCTTTAATAGTTTGGAAGGAGGGTTGCCTAGGAGCTTTGATGGGTTTCAAATTCAGTCATTGTGGGTTAATGGGCAGAAAAGTGTTGGTAGGCTTAATGGGAGGATTGATGTGATTCAGAACATGACTGCTTTGAAGGAAGTTTGGTTGCATCAGAATGCATTTTCTGGTCCATTGCCTGATTTTTCAGAATTGAAGGATCTTCAGGTGTTGAGCCTTAGGGATAATAAGTTTACTGGAGTTGTTCCGCCGTCTTTGATGAGTTTAGAGTCTCTAGCTGTTGTGAACTTGACCAATAACATGCTTCAAGGGCCAATGACAGTGTTTAAGGACTCGGTTGCTGTGGATTCGACTGAGGATACGAACAGTTTTTGCTTGCCAAAGCCTGGTGATTGCAGTCCTCTAGTGAATACTTTGCTTTCTGTTGTGAAATCAATGGATTATCCTGAAAGACTTGCGCAGTACTGGAAGGGGAATAACCCTTGTGGTAATTGGTTTGGTATCACTTGTAGCAATGGTAACATTACTACTGTTAATTTGGAGAAAATGGGTCTTAATGGAACTATTTCTCCTGAATTCGCTTCACTTAAATCGCTAAAAAGGCTTATTCTTGCAAATAATAATCTCACTGGTACCATCCCACAAGAGCTTACTACACTGCCAGCTCTTACTGAATTAGATGTGTCAAACAATCAGATTTATGGCAAAGTTCCATCCTTAAAAAAGAATCTGATTTTGCATACTCAGGGTAATCCCGACATTGGGAAGGATGAGAGCGAGGTTACACGTGGTCAAGGAACATCTCCCTCAGGCACAGCTGAAGGACAGGATGGTGGTTCTGGGAAAAAATCTAAACTTTCTACAGGTGTGATTATAGCTCTATCTGTTGTTGGAGCGGTTCTCTTTTTGCTTCTATGTGGTGTCTTGGGATTTTGTCTCTTCAAAAAGAAGCAAAACAAGTTTAGTAGGGTGCAAAGTCCGAATGCAATGGTGGTACATCCTCGTCACTCTGCCTCTGACAATGACAATGTCAAGATTACAGTTGCTGGATCAAGTGTGAGTGTAGGAACAGTTAGTGAAAGCCACACTATTCCATCCAGTGATACAGGTAGCATCCAAATGGGTGATAATGGAAACATGGTTATTTCCATCCAGGTTCTTAAAAATGTGACCAATAATTTCAGTGAGGATAATATTTTGGGACAAGGAGGATTTGGGACAGTATATAAAGGGGAACTGCATGATGGGACAAAGATTGCCGTGAAGAGAATGGATTCTGGGGTGATTGCAGGAAAAGGACTGAGTGAGTTCAAGTCTGAAATTGCAGTTTTGTCTAAAGTCCGCCATAGGCATTTGGTCTCACTTATTGGGTACTGTCTAGATGGCAACGAGAAACTTCTGGTATATGAGTACATGCCTCAAGGAACATTGAGTAGGTATGTATTTAACTGGGCCGAGGAAGGGTTAAAGCCTCTTGAGTGGACTAGAAGGTTGAGCATTGCCTTGGATGTGGCTAGAGGTGTTGAGTATCTCCATACTTTAGCCCATCAAAGCTTTATACATCGTGATCTAAAACCTTCTAATATTCTTCTTGGGGATGATATGAGAGCAAAAGTTGCTGATTTCGGTCTTGTACGTTTGGCTCCAGAAGGGAAGGCGTCAGTTGAAACTAGGATTGCTGGAACATTTGGATACTTGGCACCAGAGTATGCAGGTACCTTCTTTTGAAATTTTCACTTGCATTTGTTTCATATTGTGTTCTATAGTGTTTGTTCTTCTCATTTGTTGACCAAATGGATTTTGACCTGACTGTACTAATCATAAATTTATAGCTCCAAATGCAAAGCTATTTTCCTGTATTCTTCTAGTGAGCATCTATGTGTCTTTGCTGCTAACATCTACTCGTATTTTGTATCTTGCAACACAATGACCTTCCTTGTTATAAGACGCATGATGTAAGACAGCTTTGAGTGATTGAGTCCTTGTCTAAATTATGTCCAGTAGAGCTCAGTTAGGGATCAATAAGTCATGTATATCTGACTGTTATTTTTTACATGTTTTGAGGGCTATTGAACTTAATTTCTTCAAACTTGCATTGGAATAACCACTCTTATCATTGTTCTGAAATATCTGACTGTTATTTTTTATATGTTTGAGGGCTATTGAACTTAATTTCTTTAAACTTGCATTGGAATAACCACTCTTATCATTGTTCTGAATTTTCAACAGTAACTGGACGAGTTACCACTAAAGTCGATGTCTTTAGCTTTGGGGTAGTCTTAATGGAGTTGCTGACTGGAAGGAAAGCCTTAGACGAGACGCAGCCTGAAGAAAGCATGCACCTTGTGACATGGTTCAAGCGTATGCACATTAACAAGGATACATTCCGCAAAGCCATTGACCCCACCATCGAACTTGATGAGGGGACCCTTGCCAGTATCAGTACTGTCGCTGAGCTTGCAGGCCACTGTTGTGCGAGGGAGCCATATCAAAGGCCAGACATGGGTCATATAGTCAATGTCTTGTCTTCTTTAGTGGAGCTTTGGAAACCAACAGAGGCCAATTTTGATGATTGTTATGGTATAGATCTTGACATGTCTTTACCACAGGCCTTAAAGAGATGGAAGGCATCTGAAGGTACGAGTCAGGCAGAATCTTCATCATCATCCTTCATTGAGAATACACAAACTAGTATGGTTGCCCGACCTTTTGGGTTTGCCGATTCCTTCACTTCAGCAGACGGAAGATGAGGAAAGAAAAAAATGAATGAGACACATGAACAGGTTGAAGATTAACAAATTCTGGTTCTGTTTCATTACACTGAAAATGGGGTGGATGGTTTGGGAAAACATTGCAAGATGTGTATTGTTTGATGTTTGTTTTATTCTTTTTTTTTTCCTCAGATGTATATTTAATAGCCCTTTTGATTTTTCTTTTTGCTCTTTTGGTTTTCATCTTGTGATGAACCTTTCATGTAACTTTTGGGGTAGAGGGAGGGGGCAATTATACACCCTCTCTCATTCTCCCCCACACGAGCACGTAAGGAGAAGAATGTAAGTTGGTGTAAATTTTCATGTGAGTGTAAAATCGAAATTGTGGAGAGGGAAGAAGTTCTTCATCGTCACAAATTTTCCCTAAATTTCAATGTTTTATAATTAATCAAATCGCTTTTGAAAGTGTAATTCGTCATCAAATAATCTTTTTTTTTTCCCTATATATTGTCTAAGAAAAAATGTTCATTTATGTTTTTATAGTCAAATTAAACATAACAATAAGTTACATTTACTATTTGGTTAAAACACAAATACTTATACTCCGTACTCACATATACAACCTCAATTAAAGTTCGACAAATCCAATAAAAAAATTCAGATATTGTTTATGGTGAAAGTCACAACTCTCAGTGAAAAGTGAAAACAACTTCCAAACACTCAAAAAGATCACTAGTCATGCCTTTGCTGTATTGAGTATGACATTTATGGAATACAACGAAGTAAGATACTAATGGCAATACATATCATTCTAAATTTCTAATGACTACTCATAGTCATTGCCATTGCCAAGATAAAGCTTTATCATCTAAAAAACCATGTGGGAGCTCCACTTGTATTGAATTGTAAACATCAACTTCTCTAAATTATGTAACAAAGTTGGTTGCAACAATTAATTATGTCATTAACATAATCCGTTTTTATCAATCAAATAATTACGGAGGATTTATTTTGATTAGGAAAATGCTATACATAGCCCTTAAGTTATATATAAGCATTAAATATATTCTAGAAATTTGTTTAAATTTAGGAAATCATGAAAAAAACACACTAATTATACTGATTTAAGAGTGTTTTTGTCATGAATTTCTAATCTTATACAGTTTTTTAAAGTGAATTTAATGCTTATATGTAACCCTAAGGGCAATGTATAGCATTACCCTTTTGATTATTATTGTCCTTGCATTAAAGATGATAGAGACTAAAGATGAGGGTTTCAATTACTCAAAATTATCGATCACTACTTTTAAAGTTTATGATACGTTAGAAGTAATTATTTTTTTCACCACAAATATTAAATTCTACAGCATTACCGAGGTGAGTTAGAAGTACTCCATATTATTTATCAAGTCGTTTTTTTTATATAGTTATAGGCTTGATATTTAATAAATAAAAAAAAAGTTACGTTATAGGCTTGATAAGTCGTATACTTAATCAATATAAACACTACGTAAATTATACTTGTAGCCTTGTAGGTGATTACAATGATGATGAAGATGACAAATTATTAGATTTAAATTTTAATGAATTTAATTATTATAATTGAAAAGCATGTATAATACTCGGGTAGCAAATTTTCTTTTTATATTAATTCCGATAAGTTAGGTTGTAGTCTTGATCGAAGACTATTTTAACTTTTCTTTCAAGTAAAACAAAAAAAAACCAAAATAAATGTACAACTAAAGTCAATCAAATAACTAAATTTTGACATTGTATCCAATTTGTTACTCTTTACACGGCTTTAATAAAGGAGGCAGAATGATGTAGTCAACACATTCTTTTTAACAAGTTCTCAAGTTGGTTGCTAATGCTGTTGATTACCTTATCCACTATTCATATCTGCCCAGGTCGTTTATCAAGCACCAGTTTTATTGCATATTAGTCGCAGGGCCCATACCCAACTTGCTTCATAACACATACATCGTACCAAGTATTAAGTAAGACTATACTTTACTCCATACGGGGTAATATAACACTTCGTACATAAGTGTGGTATATATATATTGCACCAGCTACCTAGTAAGGTTTGATCTAGTGGGAAATTTTGTATCTCGAGTTCTAACTCTAGAGACTTTCTTGGGTTATGGGGATTTCCCTCCCCCCAGGCCCCACACTCCTAAAGCCTAAATGGGCAAAGGGCCAATCCTGCTATCCTGAGTTAGGTGAACTTATGAAATGTTTTAGACTTCTAGCTCGGTAGATTCCTTCTCCCTACCAACCAAGTAAAAATGTACTTTATACGGAGTATATTGTTCATATGCATAAGAAAAACTAAGGCTAGTTTCTTAATACTTTCTTCATTCTTTTTTACTTGCAATATAATCTCCTTACACACTTTTTGAGAAAAACATAAGATAATGTAAATAGACAAACTAATCGATATACGGAGTATTTTTTTTTTCCCACATAAAACCTATCTCTTCCCTATTCTCTGTGTTAAAGAAATGTTGATAAGTAGTTCCTCTGCCTTCTCTATAATTACCTCCTAAAAGTGTGGATTTGGAGGATGTGTGAACAAAAAAAAAAAAAATTATTTAAAATTTGTAAATCCCTTAACTTAGGGTTCGTTTGGCATTGATGTGGTTTTCTGTTTTTTAGTTTTTTGTTTTTTAAAAGTATATTATATATGTCACATAATGAATCAAAAATTATTTAGACTTATTAAAATCATGATAATTTTGAAAACTGACAACAAAAAAGTGAAAACACCTTTTTCTTGTTTCCTTTTTTTGGTTTTTAGTTTTCAAAAAAACAAGAAACTAAAAACAAAAAATGATGCCAAACAAGCCCTTAAAAAGCAACATCTGTTGCCAATTTTTCATCTCCGGTCCTTATATAAGGATTTCATATTATCACAAAATAAAAGAAAATAATGGAATAGATGTCCGAACAATTGAACTTATTAGAGTTAATCATATTAGAACACTTATAGTGTATTAGAGTAATCATATTAGAACACTTATAATGCATTAGATTAATCATAATAGCTTCATAACATGTGTCAATTGAAAATCACACATTAACATACAATCAAACTCCTTACATATTATTAAAAGTTGCCCTATTAAAGAGATTAAAGTTCTCATAAAATTGTTAAAATTACTCTATAATTGACTGTTTTACAATAACATTGATGTAATCCCATCTTTAGAAGACTTATTACCAAAAAATAACAATTATATAAGAATTTCATATCATTTCAAAATAAAAAGAAAATAGAGTAAATATCTGTACGAACAATTGAACAAGAATCTAAAACATAAGAATCGACCAAACAAAAAAGTAGTGCAAGTATGAACATTTGTAAACTTATACTACTAATAAATACTTGTAAGTTGCAATAACTAAACACATGTATGACCAAATAAGTGGCTAGGACTCTTTTGAAGGGGTGCTTAATAAAATCCCAATTGCTGAAAACCAGTTTTCAAGTAATACTATAAAATTGAGGCCATATGCGGTACACCAAACATATCATTAAGGAATAACAAAAAATTCATACACTTTCTAAGCCACCAATATACGTATATTCTTCCTCATAAAAAATACGTATATTCTCCCTGAGTTCCCAGGTGATTACACGTCACAGGATGAGTTTACTAACAGAATCAAAATCACAATTGCAAAGAATAATGAATTGCCCATTGCTTCATAATAACTACAACTACGAGTAATATTTATTTACTAAACACTTTTACACAGAGCTTAAAAGAATAATGCGTAATTGCGTATGCATGTTGTTGTGTATGTGCATGTTAGGTACATACTTATTAGGTATCAAAAATTAAGACTTTTCATTGAGAATTAAAACACCCTTAATTAGAAAGTAATTCATTATTTATTACAAAGTACATGTTGTATAATTTCATGCATTGTCAAAAACATACAAGTAATTAACATCTTTTAATGCTAAGGCACATATATATATTATTCATAATTCCTTATAGTTCGATTATATGAAATTTCATGCATACTAATCAACATTTATATCATATATTGTATTAATCTAAAAAATCTAAGAATCAAAGAAAGTAATGAAATCAAAGTTCATTATAGTTTTACTTTGTGCCAACTAGTTAAAAATCAGACTTACTCGGCTTTTTTTAATGGTTCATCAGTAGGCCAAAGTGATCAATTGTAAATGAATCTCCTTTTTATATCTGAATAAAACCCAAGTCCTCAAGTATAAGGCCATAAATTACACTTAATTAAACGCAATATAAATTAGTAAATTCTACTAAATCAATTATCAGTTGTTTAAAGTCTACATGATTGACCGGTTAATATTGATTTACAATTAAAATCTTGTCCATATAATACAACATTAACCCTCATAAATTATATATCCGCACACGTGAAATGACGAAGTGCCTGTTCACATTTACTGAACTGAGCTGAACTGAACTGAACTGATTGGAGCTGAACTGAACTGAACTGAACAAAGCTGAAATGAATATTTTATGAGAGAGGGAAATTAAGAGCTGAACTGAACTGAACTGATTGGAGTTGAACTGAACTGAAATTAAGTAAATGTGAACAGGCCCGAAATCACAAAAAAGAAAATACTATTATAGACATGTTTTGATTTATTAAACTGAACGAAATTAATTGAAGCTAAACTGACTTGAATATTTTATAAGAAAAGAAAATTAGAAACTAAATAATAAAAAAGCCGAAGAGAACAGGCTCTACTTCTACTAGTGTAAAAAACCCAAAGATAAAGTTGGCTCATGGTTTTGGTCACACAATATTAGAGGCTCCCATAGTCTTTCATATAACCAAAATTTTATCAATTACAATTTATTTATTTATTACTTTTTCAATTTTTTATAACTAACATTAAAAATACAAATAGGTCGGCGCCAAAAACAATATTAAATCGGGACCCACTCCCACCCACTTGTGGATTATAAAAACTCTCATAAAAATAAATCAACTAACAACCTACGTCAACCAGCCTGTCACGTGCCACAAACACCAAACTTACACGTGCCAACTTCTCCTAAATAACCAACACGTGGACCAATAAAATGGCTGAAACTGATCGTATCTCCTTGCCCACCTCTCCGCCACCAATTCTGATCCTCCCTTAATTTACTAACTTTAATCCCCCATCGTTCTTTTGATTACGCTTGCCACGTGTCGCTCTTATATTAATCCATTTCCTAAATTACCCTAATAATAATTTAAATTATTATCGAATAATTCTTTTTTTTTTTCTGAAAAAAATAAAATTAATTAGAAGAGTAGAAACAATTCGAGATAGCTCTATTTTCTCTCTCTATTACTCTCTATACTCTCTATTTTCTCTCGCTAGAACTTCTTGGAAGATCTGGTTTAGGGTTTTTGTTGGAAGATTTTGATTTAATTTTGTTATTTTTTGTGGTATCAAGTTTGTTTATTAAGGGTGAGTTTGGTGGAATTTTTTTAAAATATTATTATTTCTGTAATTATTGTGTGGTTTTTGGTTGATTTTTAGCATTTTTGAGGATTTTTTTGGTGTGGAATTAGTCAAGTTGATTCAGATTTAAGTTTAATTTGTTGATTTAAATTATTTTTATTACGGAGTTAAAATGGGTTGATTTGTTCATCGAAAAAGCAATTTTCTTAAATAATTGAAAATTTTAAAATGATTTTTTTAGCTGTTATTACTTGGAATTTGATTATAAAGTAGCAGTAAACTAAGAAATGAGGTTTTTGGTTTGTTTGATATTGCTTTTTCTCGATTAATTGATGAATTTGATTGATTTATATATACTTTTGTTTGTGTTAATCTGCAGAAAAAGGTGTGTAATTCTAACATGTCGATTTGGGCCATCTATGTATTACAAACTGGATAAAGGGTTTATAAAGTGATGTCAGATTCGCGAATTTACGAGGTATTTAATCATTTTTCCAATTATAATTCTTGTTTGTTCATTGTATTAATTGATGTACCAGACCTTATTTTGTGTAAAAACTCTGTTGAATCGGCCGAATTTCCGGTATTTGATCAAAATTAAGTTCATTGATACTGTCTTAAGGCACAAATTGGTCTTGGCGTGATAATGATGTAAGTTAGTGGTTGTTGATGGTAATTCCCCTGCAGTTAAATTAGAATTTGAAATGATGTTTGATTTGATTAGATTGGAGTTCTTTCATAGGTGATTGGCCCCACTAATTTACGCGCATTCGCTATGATTCAGTATAGGTAGGATTGTAGGAGTTTGATTAAATTTCTGAGAATTCAGCAGTACTGTAGCTGTAGCTTGTCTGCTAGAGATAGGTGCAGACTTCTGAATATTCGTTGCGCTGTGAAAAGTGTGGGGTGGAAAATGTGGTAATGGTCAAGTAGGTTTCAAAGAATTTCGGAGTTCTCCCTAGATCCCTGTTACTGGATACTTGATGTCCTGTTAATACTTACATTGATGTTTAGGTTTTTCTAAATCTCTTTTATTCCATTGAAGTTGAATAGAAGGATTGAAGACTAGAGTTTCCCTTGGGGCCATTCGAACCTTATGTGCGTTTTGATGTATGATGTGTTTTTGTTCACTTTGATTATTGTTTTCTCTATCCTCCATAGGATGTCATACGAGTTTTGTATTACACTGGTGATTGGTATTGATTGAATGATCCTTGCTTTGTGTACAACGTGAAACATGATCTAGATATGTAGAATGTAAACTTTATGAAAACTAAAACTTTATTGATTAGACGACAGATATATTGACCGTCTTCTATTGTTGCAGCTAGAAGATATCGTCTGGGAATTAGGTGACAATGACGATCATATAGTGCCTCAACCTGGAGGAAAAAGGAGTGGATTTTCACTTGAGAGTGACAGTAGTAAGAGTCAACGACTTCAGCTAAGATGCGCTGTAAATAATGCTGACAACAGAAGTGCTTCAGACAATGTTATTCATAGAAAGGAGGGAACCCACTTTTGTTCTGTGAATGAAGATAAGGAAAAAATGATGGATAATAGCCCACGGACCCACTCATCTAGTGGAGGTTTTTCTGCTTCCCTTGATGGGGAACGTAATGGAAAATTTTCATGTTCCCCGTCTGATGAAGAGAGGACTTTTAAACACTGTATGACAAGTAGTAATATGGATCCTACAGGTGATGGAATATGTGCGGGGGATCCTGTACTTGAAGAGCGACCAACTTCTATGGACAATAACTTGTACCAATATGAGCTGAACAATGCAACTCATGCGGAAAGTGGCCTTGACTTTTTTGGTAATAATCTTGATGGCAAAGAGAGCAACGATCTATTGTACTATCAATGGTCTGAGATAGAAAACTTTGAGGATGTTGACCGGATGTTCAGGTAGTTGGATGCTGTCGTTGATTTTCCCATTATCTTTTGCCATTTTCTTGCAGACCAAAAAAATGTTTATTAACTTGCTCAAATATGGATTTTTATGGTGCAGAAACTGTGATTCAACTTTTGGTCTTGATATTGACAATAATGTTGAACTGGGCTGGTTTCCAACTTCACATGCAATGGAAGGATCTGATGATGCAATCAAGCCGAGCTTTAACTTTTCAGACTGCAGTACAAGCAGACTAGATGGTGTGACTGAACAGAAAGAAGTCTTTGGGATTAACAACAGTTTAGTAGCTGATGAAAGTGATGAGAAGCTTACATTAGTTGCCAGTAAGAGAGTATCAGAGAAGTTGACTGCAAATGGCCCTTCAACCATCATGAATTCCTCTAACAATAATGGATCCAGTGTTATATCTAGCATTGACAGTGAATCACAGGTTAGAAATTTATATAGGTGCCTGCCTTTGCACTAACTGGATGGAGAATAATATATATTTTGCTTGCCCAGTATACATTATGCCGTTAAATTTAGTTGGATATAATATTGACCTTTTTATTTCCATGTATATATATATATATATTATGGTTAGCTTATGTGCTATCAGTGTTACAAGCATTTCAATGACTATCTTTTTACACTTATAAAGTTATAATTACCAATAACTATTAACATGTCTTAGTTATCTTGAAAGAAGAATCATAGCTATTTAAAAGAAGCTAGTTGCTCACTGTTCAATTAGACTTCAAATGGTTGATTTAATATTTTAACTTCTTATGCTAGGTAAGGGCTTTCCTGGTTTGTTAAGGATATGTGGTTCAGTGGTTGTTTTGGGGAGGTAAAAGGTGCTGTGCTGAATGATCAACTTCCTGTGGAATTAAGTCTTTTTCTTTTTTGTTAAACCCTCTTACTGTCAGATACAAGTATGTAATTTGTTATTATTTAATCCTACTGAAGGAGCGATTTCTGTGTAGACAACAATGACAGACAAAGTTATATATTGTTAACCAGGAGTAATCTCTTGATCATATATTCTGACGTTATACTTTTCAGATCATGGCCTTGATTTGGAATGATATTCCAATCTGATTGACAAAGATCAATTTCTGTTCATGAAAATTTGCGGCTGTGAAATTGTGCTTTTCTCACTTGAAAGTTTTACTTTTGAACTAAATTATCACACAATTTTACATTCACATCATGACAATAGCATATGCTGCTGTAATATCCACCCCATATGCTCATTTCTGTCGTACCAGTCTTGGTCATGTTCTTGTGCCTTGTGTTTGCTATACATGGTTACCATGTTCGCTAGTTTTATGTGATCTCAAAGATCTTTCATATTTAACATGAAATATGCGGCCTTTGTGTTTTGTAGTTTAGTTCTCGCGTGTGTGTGTGTGTGTGATATTTGTAGGGTCGCAATGTCAGCAACGTTCATATCCATTCTCTATTGTGATTAGGAATTTCTTTTTTACATTTGGTTTCATTATGTGACAGATCCAGTCTAATATCAGCCAGCCAAAGCATCAGAAACCATCAGAAGGGAAAAGAAAAGAGCGGCCTTCAGATAATATTGTCTCTTTCATTCAATTTGACAGCCTAAATCAGGCAGCGGAATCAAACCATTCATTGAACTTCCAACGTAATCTCTCGTCCGAAAATAGTCAACAAAAGGAAGCTTCTCATTGCACTTCTGCACAGATACCAATTTCTTTGGTAAATCCCAATAACAGTCGCTCTACTAATCAAGGTTTACAAAGCACGGCCTCATCTATAATTAAGTCTGAAGATGGTGGCCTTCCAACAGTACCCCTAAAAAAGTCTTCGTATGCATCCAACCAGATGCAATCAGTGGAGAGCACTCGTGATGTTGCTCTCCAGAATCCTTCAACTCCCAGGAACAAGAAAAAAGACAGGCCATTTCAAAGCAAATTATCTGGACATCCTGAAAAAGGCAACTTAATGGTTCAAAAAGTTGATTCTGATCCAACTTGTATACAAAAGCTATGTGATCTTGAAAATGAAGCTGAAGGTCAGAGTGAAGTTGATGATGAAGCTGGGATTGCAACAGAGTTGGACTCATCTAACATACAGGAAAGTTCTTGTGTGAGCTCAGTCTTGGATGAAGTATCAATTGATGCTAGTAGTTTTCAACAATTACAAAGTGTCATGGAGAAGGTATACACTTGATATTACTTGAACGTCTGAATATCATCTCGCAAAGTTGTAGACTTGTTTTCAATTAATGAATAGAGTGTCTGATAAATTGCAGCTGTTTTTGGAGAGAGAGAGAAGGGGGGGGGGGTAATGAGATGTTAACCTCATAGTCCTCATTCTTGTTTTGTGTCTTAATACCTAACAAAAAATTCTACACATTTGACCTTGGAAGTTTTGTATGCAAGACTAGTGTCAATTAATCATAAGATCAGCTGAAAATATTGTAATATGCAACTTTCCTATTTGTATTTTAATTTTCTTCATTCAAGTAACTTCTTCACTGTTCCGCTTATTCTGAGTCTGATTAACCTTGAAATGTTTTCCAGCTAGACGTAAGGACAAAAATGTGCATAAGAGACAGTCTCTATCGGCTTGCCAGGAGTGCTGAGCGGAGGCATAAGTGTGTCAACCCTATTGGTGGTGACAAAGATGATAAAGATACTAGTGAAGCTTTTCTATCTGATGGAACAAATAAGTATGAATTTTCCAACCTTAAAGTTTCTCCAAATGCTGATGTATTCTTCAGTTATCTGTTAGAAAGTAATTAATGCTTATCTGGAATGTCAAAGGAAATTGTCAGATTTTCTGATATAATAATGAGTAGATAATGGTGTAAATATGTGTGTGTTTTTGTGCATGCTGTTAATTATTCTTATCTTTATGGTGTTTCACGCAGATGCACAGGATTTATGGATATGGAAACTGATACGAATCCCATTGATCGATCAATAGCGCATTTGTTGTTCCATAGGCCATCAGACCCGTCTGCAACAGCTCCTTTGGATGCTCTGCCTGTGAAGGATCACACTATGGTATGCTTTTGGTCTTTCTTCTTCTTCTTCTATTCTTTTTTTTTTTCTTTTTTTTTTTTTTTTGTTGTTGTTGCCTAGTTTACTATTGTGTTTGATAAGTCTTTGGTAATACTGTGTAACTATCAAATTGTTGACGGCTGTAGATGAATTCCAGTTCTCACCAAATGCTTATTGATACTAAAATTCACTTGTTATAATTGATTTATACTGCTTGAAAACTAAATTATGCTCGTCAAAGATCATTTCAAGTTGAAATTGAATTTTGCCGAAACTGGTCTTGTAATTTCAAAAGAACGTGGCCTAAAGTCTAAATAGGCTTTGTCATTTTTTAGAAAGTTCTTTTGGCAGGGATGTCATGGGTCACTTCGTAAGGAACTTCTGTGCGCGAGTTTGAATATCCAATGTATATGAAATTAGTTTTATATCTAGGGGGGACATTCTTGACTGTATACCATATTCGGTTGTAATTCCCAACATATAGCCGTGAAAATGTGCTTTAAAACTACCCTTAATATGGGGCATGGAGTGAGTTAAGATGGTAGCGGCTTACCATGAAGATTGTGACCCTACTTTTATTATTTCTTGTTATTTTGTTTTAGTTGTGGCAATGTGTTCAATGTTTATAGCCATAGGTATCAGCCTATTGCCTTCCTAGCTTTCTAAGAGCTAAATTACCCAACCATGGTTCATGGTATGTAGTTAGCGGTATGATATAATTATATTTTATTAATTGAACCATATTTCTAGATATATAATTTAGTCTACATTTCAAACAGGGTGATTTATGCCTGCTTTAGATTAGAAAGTGCTAGATTGTGACTCAGATTTCGGTTACTCCAGCGGAATAATAAAGTCGTTTCCCTACATAAATTGATTTAAATTGAATTATTACCCATAAAATTATAAATGTATAGATTTAATTTTCTTTTTTTGCTATTTCTAACTCATCATATGTTATTTGAGTCATTACATGATGAAATCATGTTCAAAATCCATGTTACAGGTCAAATTTCAAGTTGGGTCAAATTTTGACAATTGACATCGTTAACATGTTTCTTGTCCTCCAAATTGAACAATTGGAAATGTCTTAAAGACTTGTCCTTTGGAGGCCTATTATTATAATTGAAAAGAGAATACTATTGAATCTGAGACTGAGTTTCATCGGAATTTCAGGGTCAGGCACGTAGTCATGGTCCATTGATAGCAGAGAAACCTGCTTTTTGAGAAGAAACTACTTCAGCTAATGGTGAAGCTGCTGAACACTGATTTTGAAAGCTGATGTGCAAACAAATTGCTCTATGAGGTCCCTGAGAGCAAGTGGCTTCAGTCCTGAAAGTTTGGCATACTGTCCTGCATGTAGTTCTTCATGGTCAGTTATGCCGACACTTGTAACTATTTTCTTCTTTATTTATGCATGTACTTGCAAGTTGCAATACCAGTTTATCAGTTTGTATTATACTAGAGTTACTTTAGGAAGAGTTTTAATTTTGCTTGTCAGTTAGGTGATATCTTTTTTTTTTAAAAAAATCTTTTACTGGCTGTTTTCTCACTAATCATAAATTATACTTGCTCACAACCTGTCTAACTTCAAGTATCATACTGCCATAGATTGTTTATTTTGCCTTGTAGTTAAGATCTACTCTGGGAAGATCTTCCGCCATTTCTGGGGTTGTCATGCTGTGATTGTTGAGTGTTCATGCAGAAATTATGGAAAATTTAGTATATGATAATATATAGAAAGGTAGAGCAATCTGATGGTGTGTAGACTTTAATCTAGCTAGTATGTATTCTTATAAAAATTTGCTGGCTAGACCTGCCCAGTTATGCAGGGAGAGGACGCGGCAACTTCTTTGTGGCTTAAAAGGCTTGAGTTTCAGACTATCTGTTTGAGGGAAGATGCTGATCAGAAGCCTCCAAAATACAGATGGATTTTAAATCACTGCATTCAGCAACTTATTGTGTACATTTTTACATTTGATTTTTGGCATCATATGTGTACATTGACTTTAGGGAGATAACATGTTCAAATTTGAATTTGTTTCGCAAATGTTCAAATTTGGCTAGCTAATGTCTTGTAGTTGTATTTTGTTGGACTACCCGCTATAAAAAATAACCGAGTTAGACATGCTTATTTTGGATATATTAACTTGACCAAAGAAGGAGAATGAAGAGAGGATACTGAAGCTATGCAAGAAAAGAAAAACAGTATTCCTTCCTGAAATAAAGAATTGGAGTAGTATACGTATCGCCAATTTTATGAAATTGCTTGGTCTGCAGGAAAGACCTATTGCTTCTTCTAGCAGAGGTAATTTCTTTTCAAAGCATCCCAAAAGTTGGCAAAAAACTTACAGACATTACGATTTCTATCTCAGTTTGGAAGAAAAAAAATATTAGCAAGGGGGAATTCGTATTAGAGCATATAGAGCTGCACTCATTTTGGTTCAATCATTATTCTGAGGCATGTAGTAACTAACTATAATTACCATTGCCAAGGCAATGCATTACATAATACAACCAATCTCCACACCCCCCCCCCCCCCTCCCTTTCTTCACACAAATCGCTCCATATAGTATGTGTTACTCTCTAATCAATAATCCCAAATGAACAAGAAGCGCTCTGATACAGTATGTCTGGGTGTTCTCCAACTTTGGAATGCCGAGTGAACTTGATCTTAAATTTATAGCAGAGAAAAGAATATTCCCGCATAAAAATGTTAGGTCTTGGGGAGGGAAGTTGGAATTAGAATTGGAAGCTTGGATTCTAATGGACGTGACGGCAATCATCATACACATGATACAAGCATAAACACAGTTGCAATTCCTTCCAGAAAGATCTCTGAATTTAACTAACATCATACGATAGTCATTAACACTAATTTCTGGAAGAAATAAAATAACAGGCGGCTATGCTAAGCTTTCACTGATGGTATGTTGCCAGCATGCAGAATTGTTCCTTCAAATCTTCTAATCAAATTGCTGCCTGAGGTGCATCTCTGTCTCACTTTTCCAACTAGCATGAGAAGACTGGCCTTTCATTCGCTTGCTCTTCTCTTTATCTTTAACGGTTGATCCCTTCTTCTTTGAGTCATCTAAAGGACATACAGGACAAATCATCCCAAGGGCACTGGAGTAGGTCAAGGGTATACCGCATTGCAAGCACATCCTGAAACAAGATTCATACGGCTGACTTAATTGATAAAAAATAAATAAATAAATAATTTTTTTTAAAAAAAAAAAAACATACAAGCTCAACAAATGGAATAAAACTCATTCTTACCCCCAAGCTAACAAATGATAGGAGTATTACTAAGATCAGATTAACATGATCATCCAAAGAAGTTCATGATAAAACAGACGTATATATGTACCCCAAGGTCCCCAACTCTAATGATTCAAACTACGTGAATTTTTCTCTGAGATCAAATGATAACAAAATGCTGACTGAAGATGAAACTAACAAAAAGAATTGCCTCAAAAACCCTGTTACAGAAAATAAACTATATGTGCCATTAACAGTGCTAGAGTAAGATGAGTAAGAATACCTTGGTTGAGAGCCATCATCAGTTTTAGTAGCAGGGGGTGTTTTCTGAGGCTGCGTTGAAGGAACATTACCCTCAACATCACTCCTTACTCGTTCACGAATGCCAACTATATGGGCCTTGGCTTCCACCACAGCACCTACAGGAACAACAACATCATCATCAATTTTATTTAATTTACCCACAAAAGATATCACATGTAATCTAAAATTGGCTACAAAATAACAGAGAACTCCACTTGCACCCTGTCAACATGTCAAGTATGAATTTTAGAGACTCCTACACATTGCACATATACTTGATCTAATTGGATTGAAGATTTCTGTTCCCGGATTGTCATACATCTTTGTTGGCAAGCAACATTTAGTCATAAACTTGGCCTCAATGTAAATGGGTTTATATTACACATCACGATACCATTAATGCTCTAGAAATTCTACTTTGCAATGCTCATCAATCAATGCCATTTCGACAACCAATTCAGAAGCACTATTCTCTTGAGAATGATATTGTTCCAAAGAAACTTTTCAGAAAAACATGAGGTGCTATCCCTTGCCATTTCAAAGCGTACTGCACATCAGTTTTTTGGTTTTTTTTTTAGCAAGTGTTAAGAGTGCTACCAGATGCTGTACAAACTAATTCAAAAGGGTTTTCAGCTCTTTACTTTGATCTCACTTTTCATAGATGTCCAAATAATACCTACAAAGTATCACTTTACACAAAGGGGGAAAAAAGGAAAATAGGCCGCCATCATAGAGTGCATAGACACTAGTACTCTACTCTTGCTCTACTAGCCTCCTCAAAGTACCATGATGAACCGTCTGGACTCAATGCTCATGTCCCGAAAACAAAAATTACACGGTCATCAGATTGATGTTATCTTCCCTGTACAATTAAGTTCAGATCACTCATCAAAGATTTTATCACTCGTCTTACAATAAAGGGCATATCACTGCTTCCGATTATGACACAGTTCTATATTCTCCATGGATCCCTACTTTCATCAAATTTCAACCTTTTATTATTCCAAGAAAGCCCATACCAATGCTTCTATTTTTTTTTTTTTTTTGTGTGTGTGTGTGTGTGTGTGTGTGTGTGTGTGTGTGTGTGTGTGTGAGTGCAATCAAGCTGTTCACAAGCTCAATGCAACTAAACTCAACACAAAGTGGATTGAAGCTTAGTACAAGTTCATCCTGTTTCCTGACAAGCCAAGCTTAAGCTAATTCAAAATGAACATGTCTACTTGTATAGAGTACTTAATTGAGAATAAATAATGAAAATACCCACCACATCCAAAACCCTGCCCAACTTATTCAAAGGTCAAAAAAGGAACTTCAAAATGTGAGCCTTACACCACATCAATCTCAAATTGACATTAAACCCCAAGATTACCCAGCTCAAACTCAAGCATAACATGAAATCCCAAATATCATCCTGCTCCCACCAACCAGAAGATAATTTCCTCAAGGTCCCCAACCCCACTTATTCGACGTCTCTCTGAAGATTTGGATTCTCAAAACAACACAATCCATCCAATCAATTTGATCTCTTTTCAAGTGTTCTTGGCCCTCAATTAATATTCCAGCTCTCTCTCTCCCTAAATTTCTACATCAATCGAGATCTTTTAACCTTCCGTTCAAGCTCCTACCTTTCCACCTTGAGAAACGCAATCCCTCATCAATTCAAACACAAATATGAGCGTATGCTTAAATAAACTGCAGCTAGGCGAACACCGGGTAAAAATTCTACAAACCCGTGTGTGCTACCATGAGTACCATCTCTTCCAAAAGCTCCAACCTAGTTTTCAATATCTCTTACACACATAGCTCCTATTATTCCACAACAAAAATTAAACTATAATCTTCCCAATGACTTGTCTTCAATGGTTCAAAAACCCTAATAAACACCCCCAAAAATAAGTGTATAGAAATTGAACTTAATTAAATGACATATTGAAAGATGATTTCTTTGAAATAGAACATGGAATTATGAATAAAAGTACCATTATTCATCCAAATTTTAGGTCTAATTAATGGCCAAAACGATAAAATTGGTAATTTTCCAAAAATTAAGGAATATACCAGTAGGCAGATCTTTCTTGTCTCTGCTTTTCTTGCGACCTCGATGAACAATAACATCTCTTCTTACACTCTGATCTTCTACGCAATTATTAAGAAACTGCGGTGGCCCTGAAATCTCCAAAAACGCAACAAAAAATAAGAAGTGGGTAATCAAATTTACAACTCAAAATCAAAATTGAGAAAAAACCCATCTCAAAAATTGCAGTAATTCAACGAAAATTGGAAGAATTGGAAGAGAGAGTAGCATTAATTACTTCGGAGAAAGCGTCGAGGGCAGAGGGAAGAGCTGAATCGTGAGAAGATTTAGGGGCGGCAACAGGGCGGTAAGAGGAGGGAACGCGTGAAACGGCGGCGTTGTTGTCGGAATCAGAGTCATCATCTTCGTCGGAGAAATTGTGATAGTGATGATTTGATTCTTGCTGTTCGTCTTCTTCGGCTGAAGAGTAGCTTTGGATCAGTGCCAAGCTCATTGCTGCGCCTTCCTTCCCTCGATTGTGTTGTGAGGACTTGTGATGATTTTTTTTTGGTTCAAAGGGTTATCGCTAACCAATTTAGACTAGGGAGTTAATTTGATAGGGTTATTTTTCGCCCACAATTACTTATCGCTAACTAATAAAGTGTTAATCTTAGGGTCTACTTACTTCATCTTAATTTCAGTTAAGTTTAGCTCCAATCAGTTAAGTATAGTTTAGCTTCAATCAGTTTAGTTCAGCTCTTATCTTCTCTCATAAAATATTCATTTTAGCTCAATATTAATCTCCAATTAGTTTAGTAATTGTAAAAAACCCTTAAAGGGTTGAGTTTGAATTATGTCAAATAATGGTACTATAACTTTGGGTTTTTAAGGGATTATGATAGTTGTAAGAGTAGTGATGTAGAAGAGATTTGATCACAAGTCTTGAATACCACCCTGAAATATTAACTACTAAGGTAATCTACATCAACGTGTAATATGTAACAAAGATCCATAGTTATTTGTTCCTTGCTTTCTCGTATTGTTATCCTTTGATCGCAATTACTTTCCACAATCAATTGTAATTAATGATAAAGAGGTCAAATTTACCATTACTTCCCAATTGTCCAACATCATCTCAAAATTTTGCAACATCTCTTCCAGCGCCATCAACCTCATTATCTAGCACCCAGTCAGACAGTCACCCATACACACCACTATCATCATCAACAATGTAACAACAAGCGACTATTAGACCCTTTATTTTTTTTTAAAAAAAAATACTAAATTCTAAATTAGATACCAAATTCTTTGTTTAGTAACTAATCATTTTACAAAAATACGGAGTACTAACAATAATAATTTATAACATACAACCCATTGTCGCCAATAGAAGTAATTATCAACAATATGCAAACAAAATTAAAAAAGTGCAGCATCTTTTAGAATTTTCGATTACAAAATTTCACTTCCACCATGGTGAGAGTAGACAAAAAGTTTCACCTATTCTTCGAGCTTGCTCTCCTTCCTTCACTGTCTATGGTGATTTCTTCCTTCTTTGTCGTCAAGAGGATGACAATATAGATTTGAAGAAATATAAAGTAAATAGTTTTCCCTATTAAATGTATATAAATTCTAAGTAAATTTAAGGGTATAGAGTGAGCCACAAAAAACAGTAATATAAACGTGATTATTTGATCGACTTTAATCAACTAATCTCAATAGTTAACATTCACCAATAATCCATTAACTACACTTAAACGATGACCAAGTGAGAAACACTCGAAAATATTTGACCAAAAGGTAATCACAAGACATAGCTCAAACAAGGAAAAGTGCACAACAATGATTCAATGAATATGTAATATTTCGTATTAATGAAAATAATGAGTTTAGGAAATAAACAAATGAAATAATCTTTGCATTTATTTTATTTATACGTTTCCCAGATTCCGACCTACGCTTTCCTTCTTTCCCTCCCTTCACTCCCAAATACCCATCTTCCCCACCTTCTCTGAACGCAAAAAACAAAGTAATTTGCAGAGATTTTGGTGGGAAATTTAATTTTTTTTTTATTGGGTCTGTAAAAAAATAAAAAAAAAATCTCCAAATTTTTGGAGAAATTAAATTTTGAAGAAAATTAAGGTGGGTAAATTCTAAAAATGCAGAATTTCATATCCCAGAAACTTCGAGATTTGGACGCATACCCTAAAATCAATGAAGATTTCTACAAGAGAACTTTCTCCGGCGGTGTTGTCACCGTTGTCTCCGCCATCATCATGTTCCTCCTCTTCTTGTTTGAGCTCAGTATGTCCCTTATTATTGGTTTTTAAGTTATTATAATTAATTTTTATATAAACAGTTCTTTTTTTCTGAGATTTTCTGTTAAAGTTTTCATTTTTGATTTGACAAGATAATTGGTGATTAATGGTTTACTGAATTTTTTGTTGATGGGTAAAGGGTAGGTGAAAAAGGTGACAATTTTGACAAATTGATCATAATTAGTTGGGAATTTTGGGGTGTAAGAATTTGATTGAAAGATTTACAAGTTAATTAGTCTATGTGTATTTGGAAATACCCTTGTTAATGTGTAGCCTTAATTACTGCTTATAGAGGGAAATAGAAAAAGAAGGGAAGAAATGTTGTTATTTGAGGGAGGCAATCTATGTGTAACTAGGGCGCTAGTGCATTTAAATACAATAAAAAGTAGTTGACTAGAGGAGCATTTGTGGGTTAATGGAGCTAAGTGAGACATTATTGAAGAATTCGAGAATGAACATTTTTAGCTTTAGACTATTTTTGTGGAAAATTCAAGTGGAATTCCCGATGTTAGTGAATTTAGATTCAAGGGTTTGATGGGTAATCGGTTCTGTATTTTCTAGGATATTGGCGTGTCCTTGTTTGCATCACCTCGTTTGAGGCATTGTAGGAATATTTTCTAGGATAATGGATTTAAGGCTATGATTGTAGGAATATTTGGACTCCCTTGGTTTGTGGTTATGGTATGGTCAATGCTGGTGTTGGATCTTAGAAGTATCTAAGACGGAGAGCTGAAAAACGAACCAGATGCGCTGTGCTGGATCATTGATTGCGTACTGTGAAGTCTCAACCCTAGTCTCTTTTTGCCGCACTTGTTTTGATAGAGTGTCTTGTTTTCTTTACAGTGTAGTGTACGCTCCATTTGGCTGTACCTAAAAAAGCTTCATTTTTGGTTGTGTTGCCTTTAGCTGAGCCAAAGTCTTTAAATGGTTTAGTTGGTATCCATTCAGTTGTTTACTTACTTGAGACATCATGAACAGATCCACCTGCCCCTTCATTGAAATGGTGTATATTGGCAGAATGGCAGTAATAAGTTAATATTGTTGTTCAGACCAAATATTATTTCTTGATGCATTTTGGATTTTATCTGTGGTAGTTTTCTGTAGTATGCTTATGATTTAGGGATGGTCAGAGAAATGTCCAGAAGTTGTTTATCTTGTAATAATAGTGTCCTAATATTGGTATCCAAATCATGATGATGGATACAATGATGATCATTAATATTCTGCTCGATATGATCAATATTTATATGATGCAACTTTGCCGAGATCTGCTTAGGGTATGCTAATAACAGCTGCCATGGATATGTGATCATGTAATGTGAGTATGTGACTAATTGTCATTGATTAAAAAAAGTAAAGAAAAAAAGTGGTTCCAATTGTGGTTTGTGATGCTTGTGTCTAGCCATAGTATTCTAGATTTAACTTTGAAGTTTGAACCTTGTTCTACCAAGGCATCAAATGTAACATTCATGTGTAATTTTGTATCACTGACCAGTTGTATGGCACACTTCCTCTATTTTCCTGCAGAATCATATCTGCATACTGTTACAGAGACGACACTTGTAGTGGATACAACTAGAGGGGGAAATCTTCGTATCAATGTAAGTACATTCTTTTGCTTGGAATGCTCTCCCTTGCATTTTATGATTTTTATCTCATTTCTGACTTGTGACTACACATTTGACTTTTGCTTCCTAATCCTATGTTTCAGCAATATATTACTGTCTTTTGTGGAAATCCATAACTGTATTCAATAAGTAATTGTGCAAGTCAATTAGATCCTTTTTTTTTTTTGGATTTTACTGTACTTTTTTGTTTTTTACTCCGTATTGTATACACATATTCTCATGGATATTTTGTATCTTCTTCTGAATTCGTTAGTCAATTTTTGATGCTTGCTCTTTGCTTGTTAATTGCAGTTTGATATTACTTTTCCAGAAGTTCCTTGCACGATTCTCAGTATTGACGCTGAAGATATCAGTGGAGAGCGGCATTTTGACATAGTATGTAACTAAAGAGCCATGCTTCTCCAGCCTTTGTCATTTATTGTTTTTCTGATTATATATTTTCTTTGGCTTATTGCAGAGACATGACATTGTCAAAACAAGAGTTAATGCTCATGGGAACGTGGTAGATACTAGGCGAGATGGCATCGGAGCACCGAAGGTTAGATAAGAGGCCTTTTATTTTATTTTTTAAAATCTTCCTTTAAAAGTAAAGAAATATTTTAGTGCATTTCACAGTCACTTTTAGCTTCATCAATGTCCCTTGTCAGGACTCAGGTGTTATATTATGCATAATTCTACCATCAATTTGTGGAACAGATTAGTATTCTGTAATTAAAGTTTATAGTTGTGTTTATATATGCTAAATACACTATTCAAAAAAATATATGCTAAATACAATTTAAAGGGTCCAAACTTGTCCCAGAAGGGGATAGAGAGAATAGTCTTTACAAATTAAATCAAATACCTAATGTATAGTTAGGATAGATGGAATATCTTTATTCATTTATTTCATAGTGCTAATTTTAATTAATTGTCTTACTTTATCTGTAGATTGCGAAGCCTTTACAGAAGCATGGTGGCAGACTTGAACACAATGAGACATACTGTGGTTCATGTTATGGAGCAGAAACGGTACTATCCCTTGTCTATTAACTCTGGTGCACACAATATCATTCATATGGTAGAATATTGCATTGTGAACCTGCATGAATTTAAAATTCAAAAATTATAATCATGATCATGAATTAGTCTCCTTTTTAAGGGTGAACTGCTTGTTATCAGCTGTGTATCCTGAATACCTGAAGGAAACGTTTGCCCAACCCTTGTCTATTATTGCTTATGTAATCTGTTTGACAGAGAGATCAATAACATGAGTTAAGGAGGGTGCAAGGTCATTAATTTATTACCTGATATCCTGAATTTTGTTATTATAGCCTCTGGCTCTCCATCTTTATGTGTATCTATATCTTTCTTTTTTTGTGCTTGATGTTTAGGTATTGTTTGAAACTCATTTCAGCTTAGTTTCTGCCCTACAATATTACAAAAAAGAGTTTTCATGATTTTGTCCTGTGTAAATGTGTTTCCGGAATGCTGACTGCTTAACTAAGATAGGTAGAAATGATGTTCTGAGGATTTCTGCTTAAGCACAATATATGTATTGGTATGGCAAGTACATCACTAAATTTTTTACACCTACGGTCTTTTTATATAATGGGAAGATCGGGGAGAATTTATTGGGACACACCTTCAAGTGCTCATTTAAAGTACTTTCTCTACAA